AGCTACTCTTTCCAGCTGCCACCCTATTCTGCTTCCTGTCTCCACAAGACGTCTTGGGTAGTTTACACCCTTTCTTACCCTTGAAGTCCTCTGTTTCTGCTCTATTGAAATCTCTTTTTACAAAGATTTCCACTGATATCTTCCTCATCAAATTAAAAAGACTGTGCCCTGCCTTTAGGGTCCTTACCCTCCCAGCAGCGCTCAACAACCAGACAAGCTCTTTTGTGTCAAGTTTTTCCTCCTTTGGTTTCCGAGCTGCTGTGTCCTGGATGCTCTCCTATCTCCCTCACTCTTCCTTCTGTAGGTCTGTTCCTCATCCTGTCCCTGAACTAGAGAGACCCTCTAGTTACCTCTCTTCAGCCTTCCTCCTTGTATTCCCTATCATTGCCCAGCACTGTCAGCGACCGAATCTGCACCTCTGGCCCAGAACCCTCGGTGGTTACAAGCAGACATTCACAAGAAGCAGTGAGAGGCAATGGAGACAGCCAGGGATTTGACATTTGCAAAGCTGGGTTGGAGTCTGGTTCAACCATTTGCAAGTCTCACATTGCTAAATATGGGGATATCACAGAGTTCTTAAAAGGATTAGATTACAAATATTTTCCAAGTTAAGTAGACTTGAGTTGAGTAAGTACCAATATATAGGGGTTCCTGGGTGGCTTGGTCAGTTGAACCTCTGACCCTTTTTTTTTTTTTTAAGTTTATTTATTTATTTGGGGGGGGAGGGTAAGAGAGAGAGGGAAAGAGAAATCCCAAGCAGGCTCTGCACTGTCAGCGCGGAGCCCCGATGAGGGCTCAATCCTAAGACCGTGAGATCATGACCTAAGCCTAAATCAAGAGCCGGATGCTTAACCAAGGCACCCTGAGCCTCCGACTCTTGTTTTCTGTTCAGGTCATGATCCCAGGGTCGTGGGATCAAGCCCTGAATCAGGCTCTGTGCTGAGCATAGAACCTGCTTAGTATTCTCTCTCTCTCTCTCTCTCTCTCTCTCTCTCTCTCTCTCTCTCCCCCTCTGCCCCTCTTCCCTACTTGCATGCTCTCTCTCTCTCTCTAAAGTTAAAAAAGACAATAATAATTTTAAAAGTACAAATATATATATTTAAATATTATTTCCAAATGCTTGCTGGATATCCTTCCTGTTTACTTAATGGTGTTCCGAATTTCGTATTTTCAAAAATCAAACGCATTATCTTCTCCCTCACCCTTGAACACGCAACAGTTTCTTCCTGATACCCTTATTTCTTTTTTTTTTTTTTGATTTTTTTTTCAATGTTTTTATTTATTTTTGGGACAGAGAGAGACAGAGCATGAACGGGGGAGGGGCAGAGAGAGAGGGAGACACAGAATCGGAAACAGGCTCCAGGCTCCGAGCCATCAGCCCAGAGCCTGACGCGGGGCTCGAACTCCCGGACCGCGAGATCGTGACCTGGCTGAAGTCGGACGCTTAACCGACTGCGCCACCCAGGCGCCCCATGATACCCTTATTTCTATTAACAGTACTATTTCACTCTCGGTCAGCCTCACAAAACCTGCCATCATTTTTTATTTCTTCCTGCCTTTCATCTCCATCCACCCCTTCTACCTCCAAGAATCCAAGGCACTGAAAAACTCTCTAGATTTTATCTCCACAGTGGCTTCGAAATGACAGTCCCTTTCTTTCCATTCCTATTGCTGTCATTACTTCTTTCCCGGGCTACCAGAATTCCCTAATGTTTATTTCTAACTTCCATCATCCTACACAGCTGTCAGACTAATTTTCCTAAGAACTTTCCAACACTTCCAGTGGATTCTCCAGCACCTAATCAGTCAAGTTCAAACTTTCAGACATGATAGTTAAGTCCTTCATGCTTTGGGCCCCCAATTCCTATCAACCTTGTCTCCTTCTATTAATCTTGATGTAACCCTTCCCCTGATCCAGTTTATCGCTCCTTAATTCCTAAACAAGTCTTCCAATTCCTACTCATACAATTTTCTCATGAAGTCTCCCCACTTAAATTATCCTAATCTTTTTGATTCTCCAAATTCCACTTCTCATACCATCTTTCTCCCATAAACCTTCCCTGTTTCCCCCCTTCCTTCAAATTCCTCAGAACAGTGTTATCGTCTCCCTATCTCAGAGAGATGACCTCCACCCCTCCTTGACTTATACAGTCACAAAGTTAAAGACCATCCCCATCCCATCTTCGTTTCTTAGATCCTTGAAGTATCAGGAATACTATAAGTTGTTGAATAAATATTTATTGGATTGGCAAATAAAGCACTAGAAAATGGAGTGCTGCTTTTTGCAAGAAAATATTTCAGATGTGGTATCCATCTCTGAAAAGTCATGGAAAATGTTGAAAAAGTGTTGCCTAGCCACCAAAATAATATTGTGGTAACATGCCGTGTTAGAAACAGGTTAGTGGTAACTTAGAAACCATACTTCTAAAAGCAGTCTTTTTTGAGAGAGAGAATGAAAAGGGGAGGGGCAGAGGGCAGGGGAGAAAGAGAGAGAGAGAGAGAGAGAGAGAGAGAGAGAGAGTCCCAAGCAGGCTCCACACTCTGCTCTGAGCCCGATGCGGAGCTCAATCCCACAATACCTACATCATGACCTGAGCCAAAATCAAGAGTCAGATGCTCAACCGACTGAGCCACCCAGGTACCCCAGAAACCATCCTTCTAAAAACATTTTTATTGTGGAACTATAACACATAAGGAAAGTTAACAAAACATAAACATGCAGTGTAATAAATAAGTAAAAAGTAAAAACCATGTCATCACTATCCAGGTCGTGAGCTAGAATATTGCTAGAAGCACCCATCCCCCCTGCCACATGCCCCATCCAGATCATAACCCTCTCTGCACACACCATCACTGTCCTGCCTTCCGTGATAACCACTTCCCAGCTTTTCTTCCTTTTTAAGTGGCTTTATCCGTTATTTTTCCATTTACTGAACACTCTAGTGTGGTTTCACCTGTTTTTAAATTTTTATAAAGACTGAAATCACTCTGTATATAGTCAAAAAGATTCTCAAGTATTCTGCATCGTTCATTAAACACAGTCATCCACAGTACAACCAGTCACAATCCATCCACTTTCACTTCTGTGTACTATTCCATTTTATGGACATACCACAGTCATGTCATTCAGCTGTTGATGGACATATGGGTGCTGTCCAGACTGGGGCCACAACGAACAGTGCTGCTGTGGGTGTCCTTGCACAGGTAGCCTGATGCACGGGCACACATTTCTTTAAGATACGTGCCGAAGTCTGGCTGGCGTTGCCAAAAATGCCTCAAATGGTCTCTGTTGAGTAATGTTTTGGTAAGTAATAAGTTATGTTTTTCCTATATTTATGTTCTAACTTCCGTTCGAACATAATATAAATACATGACATCAACCAGGATTTATGAATAAATTGGCGTATTTTCATTACTACGGGAAATGCGTGTGGTGGATTGGAGGTTTGCTTGTTTCCCAGTTTTGCATTAAGCATTCAGTCTGTGATTTGTAGGGGACTACATCAGATAACCACTTGCCGTTTCTCCCCGTTTTTTGTAAGGCCCCTTCTATCAGAATTGTCTCCGTTCCAGAATTCCTATCCTCAGCCTTCTCATGGTCTCTGTAAGGCCATTTTTCCTTTCTCTCACTTTCTTCCACTCTAGTCTCCTTGACTTGCTGCTGTTCTTGTGGATTTGCAAAATTCAGCGGGTACTCTGCTGCTGCCCTACCTTCTTACGAACTCTATTCTGTCCGTTCCACAATCCCAGCAATTGCTCCCCATCGGACTCTTCTGACGTCTTTCCATCCTCTCTGTCTTCAGCCCCCAGGCCCCCAGTGAAAGATCCAGCTCACCCTTTGGCACCTGTCATTAGCTCTTTGTTCTTTGTGTAACACAAACTAACCTTTAGTATTAACATGCTCCATAAACACAGACATTTTAATTTCTGCCAAATGCCAGAGTTTGAAAACGTGCAAAGAAAATGCTGCTATTTGAGGCGCCTGGGTGGCTCAGTCGGTTAAGCGTCCGACTTCGACTCAGGTCACGATCTCACGGTCTGTGAGTTCGAGCCCCGCGTCGGGCTCTGTGCTGACAGCTCAGAGCCTGGAGCCTGCTTCAGATTCTGTGTCTCCCCGTCTCTCAGCCCCTCCCCTGCTCATGCTCTGTCTCTCTGTCTCTTAATAATAAATAAATGTTAAAAAAAAATTTTTAAAAAGAAAGAAAATGCCGCCATTTGATCATATTCTGTCCTTTGACCCTAATGCTTGAGATGTGTGTCTCAACAGGCAGCATTCCTGAGTAGTCCCAACTGAAAACTTCTGGTAAGAGGAGAACTGAAGTGAATTTGATCCCAGATCCTGGTGGACTTGATGGGCCATCTTTTAGGAAGCTTTTCAGTAAGGCTGCAGTGGCTCTTTAAAAAAATTACAAAAAAAAAAAAAAAAACCCAAACCCTCCCCAGTATAGAAAGGAAATGCCTCGCTCTTCAGATGCTAATTTTAGCTAGTCCTGCATCAGACCTGGCCACGGGCTACAAATAGTTCTAACCAAGTAGCGAGACAAAGAAAGCTGGGCACCATGGACAGCGTGGGCGGTGCCCTAGACTTTGTCTCTCCAGCAATGTCTGTGAGGACAGCCTGACAGGCACCCGGGAATTGGAGTCTGGAGGAAGTACTTGCTGAATCTTCCCGTAAGATAATGTAAAAGGCGAATTATCATGCATTGTATTTACTTTCAAATAAGTGCCCTCAGATAACACTGGGCACTAAGCATTACCAGTCATAACACGGGTGAAGCTGACTTTTTTTTTTTTTTTAAGAGCCTAGGAATTACTGTGGAAGTTAAAGTTGTAAAAAACCCAATGAAGTCATGAAGGCATTCCACTGCTCCTCAGCCTGGAGGAGGTGTTGAACATTTGAGTTGATTATAGCTAATAACCTGTGATCTCATTTACTAGAACTATAATACAGGGAGCTGTATAAGGTGGCACACGGGGGACCGGAGCACTAATCTATTTTTATTCCCCTTTCTTCCTCCTCCTTGCAAGCTAAGCTCAGCATTGGCCAGAGAAAAGTAACAGTCCAGAAAGGACCGCTGTTTAGGGCTGAAGGCTACCCTGTCAGCATTGGCTGCAATGTAACTGGCTACGAGGGACCTTCTGAGCAGCACTTCCAGTGGTCTGTTTACCTGCCGACAGCCCCAACTCGAGAAATCCAGATCATAAGCACCGCGGATGCCACCTTCACTTACGCGGTGTATGCGCAGCGAGTACGAAGCAGGGGGATCTACGTGGAGAGGGTCCGGGGCAACTCAGTCTTGTTGCACATCTCAAAGGTCCAGCTGAAGGATTCTGGAGAGTATGAGTGTTACACACCGAACACGGATAAAAAATACTACGGCAATTACAGTGCGAAGACTAGACTCATTGGTAAGCTGTTTGGCCTCCTGCGCCTGCCGGTCCCCCGACAAGCCAGACCCCCACCATCACGATGCCTTGCAACGTGAAGTGCCTTCACGCTGTGTCAAGCCCTTTGGCAAGAGAGCCCTCGCGGCCCCCTGGATGTGTTGCAGATTGGTCACAGATCGGTATCCCACATTCTCTAAAACTCTCAATTCATCTCTCTAGTCAACCTTGCCATGAAGATATAGATAGTGTGTAAGTCTCCGAAGGCCTTGTCCATAGCTGGCTGCAGGTTGATCAGACAGAACTGTGAGGGTTCTCCCTAGGCCATGTCTCTTCTTGGAGGGAGAACATTAACTTGGTAAAAGAGCTTGTATTAGCACGATCAGTGGTAAGGCATCAACTTGGAAATTATGATTCCCCAATTACTCTCCTCTAGCATATTTACGTAGAGAGAGAGGTTCAGAGTCCTTGCAATGACCACGTTGCCCCTTTGCCTAGAATATCTTAGCGCCCGTCTTTCAGTCTAGCCAACTCCTACATATGCTTGTGGACCCATCTTAGGTATTCCCTCTTCTGTGAAATCTGTCCTGTCTCAGGCAGTGCTCCCATATCTTTGTTTCCTCCTGATGCTCTATTCACATCACTATTGTTAGCACTCACCCAGGTTATGTGATATTTGGCTCCTTACATGACCCCTACCTCACCCAGAGCTCCATGAGCACAGCTACCTCAGCCCCCAGCACAGTGACTGGCACTGAGTAGTTGCTCAAGCAGTATTTGTTGATTGAATCTAAGTGTTGCTTTCACATAAGCATAGGCTGTGTGATTTCCCTTGAGGAAGAACACGATGATAGGTGAGTAGGGTGATTATCAAAATTGTGGTAAGGGTTGCATTTTGGCTCTGGGTGATAGATTATAAGAGATTATTTCAGAACTTTACAAAGAAGCAGGTTAAGTAAGGCGTAAGGAAGTGAAGCGACTTGCTCCAGTTCCTGTCGTCAAATAGGGACAGACTCAGGATGAGAATGTAGGTCTCCTAGCTCCCAGTGCTTTTCCGTCTTAAATACTCCGTGTCTAAGTAGCTAAATTGGTCACAGCCTACGCTAAAAATGTAAAGTCAGGGTCAATACATCACCGAGGCATTAGTTTTGCCAAGTTCCATAGGCTATCTATACAGATGCCAATGTTCCCCTTGGCAATAGGGAAGGCATATGGCTGGTGGAAAACAACTCAAAGTGTGTGCTTTACAGATGGTGGGTCAGGGCACCATCTTTGTCTAAGGAGGCTTGTCTGATGGGTTCCTGGGCCAGTCAGTTGTCATCTTTCCTTTGCTTTCAGTTATTCCAGATACCCTCTCTGCCACTATGAGTTCCCAGACTCTCAGTAAGAAGGAAGGCGAATCATTAGAACTTACGTGCGAAGCATCCAAAGCGACAACTCAGCATACCCACCTGTCTGTCACCTGGCACCTGATCCAGGATGGAGAAAGAAGCCAAGCTATCGAGATTATTTCCCTCTCCAAGGATTTCATGTTGATCCCTGGGCCCTCATTTACCGAGAGGTTTGCCGCTGGTGATGTGCATCTCAACAAGCTTGGGGTCACTACCTTCAGGCTGGCCGTAGGGAGGCTCCAGCCCTCCGATCAAGGCCAGCTGTTCTGTGAGGCAACCGAATGGATTCAAGATCCAGATGAAACCTGGACTTTAATCACGAAAAAGCAGACGGATCAAACAACTCTGAGGATCCAACCAACAGGTAATGATCTTCTCAAGAAATTCATTACTATGTTGGTAGTGGGTATTTATGGGCCATCTTTTTTTCTTTTTTCTAATCTTCGGTTGAATCTAAAAAAAAAAACCACATTTAGAAAGTTTGAATAAAATTTGTTTTGGGCATCTAGGAAGCATCAATAAGAAGAAAGACATTTGGTTTGGGGGGGTCTGCCCACAGCAGGGTTTCTATGGGATAAGGTCTGTTGAATGGTTAGATAGATTCCACAAATCATGCATGGAAACGGTGTTATTCTTGCCAAGCTCTGTGTAAGCACTTTATCTGCGCTTTATCTAATGTCATCCTTACCCTATGGGGCAACTAGTCATCTCCCCATTTTTAAAACAAGGAACCTGAGCCTCAAACAGGCTAAATACTGGTAAGAAGTGGAGCTGGTGTGTTTCTCCAGTGATCCTGCACCACAGATACCCGGGCCCCAGAGTAGCCCGCTTCCAGGGTGGAGGCTTATCTTCGTCACGGCCAGGCTTTCCTCCCACCTGACACCATTTCCTACTTGGGATGGTGTCCCTCTTCATGATCCATTGGCGTTTTCATCAATGCAAGCAGGAAGCCTCAGCTGTGATTCCTGGTTTCTCTACACAGGCTATGGTCCAATAGGAAGAGGTTGTGAAAACTATATATATCCATGCTAAAAGCAGTGATCCAACGGTGGATCATTGGAAGTTCCTTCTTTTTTTTTTTTCTTTTTTTTTTTTTTTCGGAAAAGTGTTATTCTGCTTCATTAAAAAAATGGTCTTTGGCCTTGAGTGTCCAAGTTATACTCAGTGAGTTCTGTGGGGGCACATCAAGGGTGCTTTTTCTCTCTGAGAACTTTTTATATAAAACAGTCTTTATTTATGTTGACAAAAATTGTATATATTTAAGGTGTGCATGATGTTTTTTTTTAATTTGAAATTTATTGTCAAATTGGTTTCCATACAACATCCAGTGCTCATCCCAACAGGTGCCCTCCTCAATATCCATCACCCACCCTCCCCTCCCTCCCACCCCCCATCAAGGTGTACATGATGTTTTGATAGACATGCATTTTGAAACCATTACCACAGTCAGGCTAATTAACATATCCATTATCTCACATAGTTACTTTCTGTGTGTAGTGTGTGTGTGTGGGGGGGGGGGGTGGGGGTGGGGGTGTGTGTGCATGTGTGTATGGTGCAAACCCTTAAGATCTCTGTTCTCAGCAGATTTCAAGTATGCAACACGGTGTTATTAACTGTAGTCACTTGCTATACATTAGATCTATAAAACTTATCTCACATAATGGAAACTTTGTCCCCTTTGATCACAATCTCCCTCTTCCATCCCCTCCCCCAGATCCTGGCAACTACCATTCTACTCTCTGCTTTTATGAGTTCGGCAGTTTTAGATGGCACATACAAGCGAGTTCCTGCAGTCTTTGTCCTTCTGTGTCTGGCTTATTTCACTTAGCCTAATATCCTCCAGGTTGATCCGTGGTGTTGAAAATGACAGGATTTCCTTTTCTCTCAGGGCTGCATAATATTTCAGTGTGTATATATACCACATTTTCTTCATTCATCCCTCCATCAATGGGTACTTAGGTTGACTCCGTTATCTTTGTTACCATGCATAATAAACATGGGAATGCAGATCTCTCTTTGAGATACTGACTTCATTTCCTTTGGATACTACACCCAGAAGTGGGATCACTGGGATTATATGATAGGTCTGTTTTTAATTTTTGAGGCACCTCCACACTGTTTCTATAATGTTATATTCCCACCAATATTACATTCCCTTGCCTCCACATCCTTTTTTTTTAATGAAATTTATTGTCAAATTGGTTTCCATACAACACCCAGTGCTCATCCCAACAAGTGCCCTTCTCAATGCCCATCACCCACTTTCCCCTCTCCACCCTCCCCCCCCCCATCCAGCCTTAGTTTGTTCTCTGTATTTAATTTTCTCTTGTGGTTTGTCTCCCTCCCTCTCTGTTTGTAGCTATTTTTTCTCCTTCCCTTCCCCCATGGTCTTCTGTTCAGTTTCTCAGAATCCACATATGAGTGAAAACATATGGTATCTGTCTTTCTCTGCCTGACTTATTTCACTTAGCATAACACTCTCCAGTCCCATCCACGTTGCTACAAATGGCCAGATTTCATTCTTTCTCATTGCTAAGTAGTATTCCATTGTATATATAAATCACATCTTCTTTATCCATTCACCAGTTGATCTCCACATCCTCACCAATACTCGTTTTCACTTTTCCAACCCATGAACACAGAATATCTTTCCATTTATTTGCATCTTCTTTACTTTCTTTAATCGATATTTTGTAGTTTTCAGTGCAAATGTCTTTCGCCTCCTTGGTTAAATTTATTCCTGAGTATTTTCTTCTTTTCGACACTATTGTAAATGAGCTTTTTTTAAATTGAGATAAAATTAGTATATGACATTAAGTTGCAGGTGTGCAACATTAGAATTCGATGTTTGTATACACTACAAGGGATCACCACCATAAGTCTAGTTACAATCCATCAGCATACAATTGAACCCCTTCACCCATTTGCCCACTCTCCAACCCCCTTCCCCTCTGGCAACCACAAATCTGTTCTCTGTATCTGTGAGCTCATTTTTATTTTGTTTGTTCATTTGTTTTGGTTTTTAGAGTCCACATATAAGTGGAATCATATGGTATTTGTCTTTCTCTGCCTGATTTATTTCACTTCGAATAATACCCTCAGGGTCCATCCATGTTGTTGGAAATGGCAAGATTTCTTTCTTTTTTATGGCTAAGTAGTATTCTTCTGTGTGTGTGTGTGTGTGTGTGTGTGTGTGTGCGCGCGCGCCACATTTTCTTTATCCATTCATCCATTGATGGACATTTAGGTTGTTTCTGTATATCTTAACTATTATAAATAATGCTGCAATGAACATAAGGGTACATATATCTTCTTGGTGTTTTTGTATTCTTTGAATAAATATCCAGAAGAGGAATAGCTGCATCATAAGGTAATTCTATTTTTAATTTTTTGAGAAATCTCTATACTGTTTTCAATATTGGTGGCACCGATTTACATTCCTAACATCAGTGTAAAAGCATTGCTTTGTCACTGCATCTTCTCCAGCACAAGTTATTTCCTGTCCTTTTGATAATAGCCATTCTAACAGGGATGAACTAATATCTCATTGTGGTTTTGATTTGCACTTGCCTGATGATGAGTGATGCTGAACATCTTTTCACATGCCTGTTGTCCATCTGTAGAAGTTGTTTTCTTAATCTTTTTCCAGTACAGTAAAACCTTGGTTTGAGAGCATAAATCGTTCCAGAAACATGCTGGTAATCCAAAGCACTTGTATATCAAAGTGGATTTCCTCATAAGAAATAATGGAAACTCAGATGATTTGTTCCACAACCCAAAAATGTTCACATAAAAATGATTACAATACTGTAATATAATATAAAATAATAAAGAAAATACAAAAATATAAAGAAAAATAAACAAGTTAACCTGTACTTACCTTTGAAAATCTTCATGGCTGGTGTGAGGGAAACAAGAGAGAAGAGGGTTATTGTGAAGGGTGACTTTCACTATCACTAACAGATGTTGATTACAGTATAGTATCAATAAACTCTTGTCATATACTGTATTTCATGTAATTGGCAATAAGGCAGCAGAGGAAAGGGTCTATATGTGCAGACAGCCTGACATATAGAATTCATAGAATGAGCAAAGCATTTCTAAGCTTACTCTTGTCTGGAAATCAAAGGACTATCCATAGGCACTTTGAAGTGACAAAAATACACTGGTGCCAGTTGTGGGCACCTTCCAACGTTCTGAAAAATCACTGACTTCTGCCGAACACCACGGTGTGAGACTGAGCATCTGAGCATGGGAGACGATCACCCACAATCCCACAGCAAAAGAGAGAGAAAGAGAAGAACCATTGGCTCAGTTGTGATCATGTGACGTTTGATGTCACGTACTACTCTTATTGCAAGACATTGCTCGTTTATCAAGTTAAAATTTATTAGAAATGTTTGCTCGTCATGCGGAACACTCACAGAACAAGTTACTCGCGATCCGTACTTTGTTGTTTCGCCGTACTTTGTTGTTAGTGTATAGAAATGCAACTGATTTTTTTTTCGTATGTTCATTTTGTATCCTGCAACTTTACTGAAACTATTCATTTTAATAGTTTTTTGGTGGAGTCTTTCGGGGTTTCTATATATAAGACCACGTCATCTGCAAATGGATGATTTTACTTCATTTTTACTTTATTTTTTTTTTTACCCTGACTAATTTCTCTGGGTAAGGCTTCCAGTACTATGTTGGATAGAAGTGGTGAGAGTGGGCATCTTTGCCTTTTCCCAGTCTTAGGAAAAACTTTCAGTTTTTCATGGTTAGGGATTATGTTAACTGCAGACTAGTCATACATCACATGTGCTTTAACTTAAGAAAATTCCACTGGATATTCTCAGCCAAAAAAAAAAAATCCCAATTTATAGCAATTCAACATACCATAAGATGTTATATATTTTTTTATTAAAAAGAGATACATTACTGTATACTTTATATTTCTATGCATACGTTTTGCTTAATAGGATTGCATTCAGAAAGCTATGTATGCTGTTCTTTCTGAATGATTTAAGGAATAGTCAAGGGCATCTTTGCTTCCAGGCATTTCTTTGGCTGACCTGCTCTTTGGAGCTAAACTCCCACATGAAATTCAATCCTTGTGGATCCTTACAGGAGGTATTATCTCCCTGCGGTACTGAAAGGACAGATGCTGTGACTTCTCTAAATATCTGCTTTGCTTTTGTTTCCTAGTGAGAGATTTTCAAGTCAACGTTACCACCCAGAGCACGTTTACAGCAGGGAAACCCTTAGAACTGGTTTGCCTGGTAGTAGGCAGCGGCCAGGACCCACAGCTTCAGGGCATCTGGCTCTTCAATGGTAACGAGGTGGCCCGCATCAATGCTGGTGGTGTTCTGGACCTCAAGAGAGACTACAGAGAGAGAGCAAGTCAAGGACAGCTCCAGGTTTCAAAGTTAAACCCCAAGGTTTTCTCTCTCAAGATCTTTTCTATGGGCCCCGAGGATGAAGGGGCCTACACATGTGCCGTGGAAGAGGTGGTAAGAAATCAGATGGACTCCTGGGATGTGCTTCAGAGAAAGCAGTCACCGGACAGCCGCGTGCATCTGAGGATGCCGGCAGGTATGTGAAGTCAGGGCCACACATGACTGGGCTGTTCTCAGCTTCCCTCCTTTGTGAGTACAGTATGACTTCACGGACACAGCGGACTTCTCCTGCAGAGGCAGGTGTCAGTCGGATCACTTTGAGGTGGCGTGAAAGACACACAATTAGATTGTCCTGAAGTCTCTTCTTGCTGTCTTAGGTCTTAGATTCTTTGATTCTGTGTGCTGTTAGTCCTAATTTCTGCACCTTGGGTTTTTCTTCAAGCAGGGAACACCTGTATCAATGAAACCCCCTGTCTTCCATCGTTGTCTGTGTGATGTGAGTGTGTGAAGAGGGAAAAATGACACTTGGCCTCCTTCCTGGGGAATGCACACCTACATTATGCTCCCCCCCCCCCAACACCTTTCAGGTACCTTTGGTCAATCCTCTGTTATCTTAACCTGATACACAGGATGATAGTGCATCTTAATGCTATATCAAAGCATGACTCAGACTAAGAAATGAAGAGGTAAATGATAGCAGGCAGATGTTGTCCCCTGCATTTTGCCGTAATGTGACGTGCCTGTCCAAACCACTTTGAGTATCTGTATGCATGAAAGTGGAAGGCCACTTAGGCCTTGTTTAGTTCATGAAGGTTGGGTGACCCGAACCATGGTTGAGCAGTCAGTGCTTTTTGTGTGAAGAGAAAACAGACAAATCTACAACGAACATTAGGATGCTCCGGGCTGGGTATTATATTCTAAGTCTAGAAAGACTAATTGCCCAAGGGCACAAAACACAACCCACCAAAAAATAAAGATACCCTTGTCTCACTGGTTCTTTGGAGGCATCTCCAAAGATGGACAAATTTCCCTTTCATGCTTTTCTCCGTCACCCCATTTGCTAGCAATGAAGATCACAGTCTTTGGCCTAGAGTGGCAAGCCAGGAAGCGTGTTGGTGTTAGTTTTCACGCTAAACATTTGGTCGAACTTTCTAGGGTTCAGGAAAAACTAGGTGGGCGGGCTTACATACTTACACAGGTCTAGGTCTCTGTTTCATGCATCTCAGTCTCTGCTGAAACATGTCGGTAAAGCTTTCTTAAATTCCACATGTGGGAATCTGTGCCAAACGGTGCCCAGATCCTAAGCCCATCGGTAGGGTGGTCTTCCAAAGCGAAAAATAGTTCTTTGTACAGGCTGGAATCCAAACTGGGCCCAATGTGCAGAGACAGAAAAAAATTGTTAGCAAATTTATTAAGGATCCTGTTGAGCATTCACAGTTCTGAAAATCAAACCAAAGTATGAGCAGAGTCTTATCATTCTATGAATATTTTAAACAGAAGGGGGTACTCGCTACCACTGTGAATGTGTACCTTACACACACTTGATAAGTTTATTACTTCTTACCAAGAGGCAGTAATGACTGTAATGAGTTAAGGACACCTCATCTTTTCTTAAAAAAAATTGATGTTAGTTGAAACTAATCATAATGGTTATATTAGAGTAGTGAGATTATGAGTAATAATTTCCTCTTTACGTTCTAAGCTTCAGTTATGAGTCTATTTTTAACTTGAAAATGACTCTAAGTATAATCCTGCCTCTAACACCCAAAATTTGGAAGCAGGCTTGCATATATATGATATAATATATAACATATATAAAATATTATTGAAATAAGAATCAATAGTATTATTAATTATATTAAAATATTAAATACATATATTAAATTTATTTGTGGATATCAACCTTCATTCTGCCTTTGTAACATACATATACATACATATACACATACATACATATACACATATATATACATACATATATGTACATATACATATATGTATATATATATATAAAGCAGAAGAAGACCAAACTCCTTCCTCAGCAGGGAAGAACAATTTGCAAATTCACTTAGATCCTATTTAAATTTCTCATCCCAAGTCTATTTTGTTTTTTTCTCTTTTGCCTTTGAACCACCCCACTTTCACTAAGCACCTATCATTACAGCCAAAGCTATTAGCTTCCCCTTGCCCGGCAGGCTAAGCCCTTAAGCATGTACCACTTTTAGTCCTCCCAACAATGCCATAAGGTGGGTGCGATTATTACCTTTGTATTTGCAGGAAAGAAAATGGAGGCTCAGGGAGGACTGTGTGTTGCCCAGGGTAACTCTGACTCCCAGGGCTTCGGCCTTAAGCCTGGGATGCATGAGCTACTGAGATGTCTTTGCCTTGCTCACACAGCACCCAGGACAAAACCTTGCCCAGGACGCGTCCGAATGTTTGCATTTCCACGTGTCTTGAATTTCTGGGAGCCAGACGTATATTTGCAGTTTAACATTGTAGTTCAGCTGTAAGAAGGATCTTCCCTCAACCAAACCATTAATATATCTCTAGCTATGTGAATATATGATTTGAAAAAGAGAAATCTATGTATGTGTATTTTCTCCCAAGTAATTGCTTTTAATGGTAGTATTCTGTTTATTCTGTTGTTCTTGGTTTTGTTTTTTTTTTTTTTTTTTTCAATAAACTCTGCAACCAGTGTGGGGTTTGAACTCATGACCCGGAGATCAAGAGTCACATGCTCCATGGACCGAGCGAGCCAGGCACCCCTAATAGCAGTAATTTGAACAGAAATCTAATTACCAACACTCGTTCCCTGTTCAAAACACAGACTAATTAGGGAAAGATAAGTAGGGAGAGGAATGTCATTTTGAACTGTGAAACACAAAATTCCAAAAAACTAGAAATTTAAATAAACACAGCTTTGTTACTTTCAGGCTCATATACCCACCCTAATTAATCTAAGAAAATATTACCAGATGTTTTCCCAACTAGATGTTCTTAATGAAGGGCTGATTTAACAAATCACTAAAAACGAGGGCAAATTATAAATTGTTTAAGTGTAAATAAGTTCTCCTGATATTCTTTCTATTGTCTTGTGCCCACTATTTAAGTGTTTAGCCAATCTCTTTTCTGAGGGTGGTCCAGGACTACACGGCCTGATCTGATTGGTCACAAAATGAGTCAAATCCTAATTAAAGAGATGTCACTGTATTTTCGAAACGTTTTCATTTACTTGAAACCCTTTTTTTCCTCTCAAATCTGTAATCCACAGCAAGAAATGTGGCCTTATCTACCAAGAGCAAGCAGCAAGCAGTGTGGGAAGGAGAGGTATTAACCCTTCTCTGCAGGGCAGATGGAACCGAGAGTCCCCTGTCTGTGGAATGGTGGCGCCTCCCACAGGGCCAGACGCAGCCAGAGTTCGTGGCTGGCATGGGGCAGGATGGCACGGTGCAGCTAGGCGCCCCCTACAAGGAACTCAATAACCACGGCAACACAAGGCTGGAGAAAACGGACTGGGCCACTTTCCAGCTGGAGATCACCTCCACCACCATTACGGACGGTGGTATATACGAGTGCCGAGTGTCTGAGAGTGCCCAAAACCAGGCCAGAGGTCAGAGCTGGACTCAGAAGTTGTCAGTCACCATCAGATCTCTGGGTAAGTGTCCAAGAAATCCTTTTCTGAACTTGCGGGTCGTCGGTACCTTCCTCTGCAGTGCGACGCAGTAGAGTCTGATTGTGTGTCACCCTGAACCCCCCAGTTAGGGCACGTACACCCTAGGACACGGAGCATCGTTTCTGGCTGCCATGTCCGTCAACTACTCTCTAAAGTTTACTCATCTTTATGAAGATCATCTGTAGGGTGCCCCTTACAGGCTGTTATTCACAGCTAAAAACAAAAGCCTATGACCTGGAGTAGACTTACAGAGGACACATGGCCAGTAGAGCTGAGCCTCATACATTCGGGCTTTTGACAGCTGTGGCCCTGTGTTGCAGAGTCTTCTAGCATGTTCCAAACAGTGACACTGAGCCTGTGAGTGGAAATAAGGGAAGGAGGCCAGCCACTGGGCTGGGGAGTGCTCCACCCACTCCGTAGCAGCTGTCTAAGCAGCAGGCTGGAGAGACACTGCCTGTTTGTTGTCACTACTGAGAACACTCTTAGAAGAGGGTCAGCTTTGGAAATCTGAGGACAGATTTCAGGACAGGCTGTACTGTGAGTCAACTTTTACCTCCAAATATTTGATTCTCCCGATGTACAAATGCATGGCTCTGTGTGAATAGGTGAATAGGAAGGCTTTGATTTGATAAGCATATTAGAAATCCTGTTTCCCATCTATTTCTGCCCACAGAGTCGAGTTTACAGGTTAAGCTGATGAGCCGTCAACCCCAAGTGACATTAACCAACACCTTTGGCCTGTCCTGCATAGTGGAGGCTGACTTCTCCCACCTCAGGGTGCCACTCACTGTGACGTGGCAGTTCCAGCCAGCAAGATCTCGGGTCTTTTATCTGCTTGTTCGAATCGCCTGGAACGGCACTATTGAGTGGGGGGATTTCCTATCTCAGTTCCAAAAGAAGACAAAGCTTTTGCAGTCCTCATTTTACTCTCAACTCCTAATCCACGATGCCACGGAGGAAGAAGCAGGAGTTTATCGGTGTCAAGTAGAAGTTTACGCCAGAAATTCCCCAGACACGAGCGGCCCCCCGAGGGCTTCCGCCGTCTCTCACTCGCTGATGATAGCCATCACTTTGCCAGGTAAACACCACCTGAAATTAATCCATGCTTTAAAAACAAACCAACACATTTCTCCCATGGTGGGTGAGTTTGTAGAATTAAAACGTAAAATACCTTCTCCCCATGTTCTTACTGTATAAGTTAGCACCACAGAAAACCAATATCCAGGCTGACATTGAGTTAACGTGCATGGGATGGCCATACTGATTGTTAAAACATTGACAGACTTCCACACTGACTAATAATAACTGTGGCTCCATGCCCCTTCCCCCCTTCCCATAAGTTCCCAGCACCTGCAAGGTACCATGTGGCACAACAGGGGGCCTCTAAGACCAGCTCCTAGAGCTGGGGGAGGCATTCTTTTGGATTGGTCACTGCCCATGCCTCCTGAGTCATTAAATGTTTGGAATGTCTCCATTAGTGGTATGGATAACGTAAATTCCATTAGAATACATTTATCCTCTTGTTGTACCATGTGAATGTATAAGAGAGAGGATATGATTATAGTCAAATATAATTTACCTTGTCAGCTGGTAAAAGAACAGAGAGGTAAAAAGTATGACACAACCTGGGCAAAGTTCTGCTGGGTCATGCATCTTCTTTTATGGCTTGCATTCTTTTAAGGCAGAGCGTTCAAGAGCCTTTGAAGTCATTTCAATCTGACAGGCACCAGACAGCAGCATAGCTGTGGACAAGTCACACAATCCATCCAAGTCTAGGTACTTCATCCATAAGTTGCTCTTTAAAGATGCGCACGTTGAAGGTGGTGACACATAGATAATGTGCCTAGTACAGTGCCGATGCGTGGAGTGGATGTTCAGACATGGTAGTGGTCATTCTCTCTGCTGCTGAGTGACATCTTTTGTACTAGTAATGATCTCCTTGTTGATTGACTCATCTCCTACTTTCCATCTTGAATTTGAGCTCCAGCCACACTGAGCTAGTTGCAGGCCCTCAAATACTCTATGTTCTCTCCCTCTTTCAGTCTTTGTTCAAGTCATGTGTTTTGTGTGGAACGCTTTAGCCTCTTCTCCATCAGACTAATTCCTATTAACCCTTAAGACTTAGGTTAGAGGTCTCTTCTCCAGAAAGCCTCCCCACACTCCCATATTTGAGTTAGGTAGTCGTGCCCTGTGCTCTGACTTCTGCATACCTCTGTCACTCTTGGGTGACACAGTCTTGTAATCCTAAGCCTCTGTGACTGTACTAGTGTCTCCCTCTAGACTGTGAACCCACGGAAGGAAGGTAGCCACAGAGTGGGGAATAGTCTGACAGAGAACACAGTGTGTGCTTAATAAATGTTTGTTGAAGGAAGAATAAAGGGATCTACTGGCAACTTCAAGAAGCAGTTACAAAAGCAGAATCAGTGATGTCAGCAAGAGGTTAGAATAAGGTTTGGAAGGCAGGTGTTAGCATTCATCTTCCCGACGGAGCAGAAAAGCTGCTGGAATAAAAGGGTAGTTGACTATGTATCTGTATGAGATTCTTACAGTTGACTGGCTGCAAAGAAACATATAATGTTAATAGCCCACGTACAACTTGCTTTTGTTTACCTGAGTTCAAGGGCAGATACCAACAAGGGCGTTTGGCAAACTGTGAATCTGGGGGTACTCTGGAGAGTGAGCACACAGACAAAGCACTAATAGGGGCACTTTCTCCCACTTTGATTTATGAAATGCTGCAGAAGAGAAGATGTCTAAGCTTCAATAATGAGGCATTATCACATGGAAGAGATTAGTTTCCTGTATGACACTTCCTCCCACCCCATGTTCCCATCCCACTCATCCAGGTAAGGGTAGAACCAGGACCAGTGGCTGGAAGGTATGGAGTGGTAAGATTCAACTTGATATCAGAAAGAATTCTCTAGTGGCAGAGATGTCCAAAGATGGAATGGACTGGTTTGTCAGTTGGGGAGCTGTTCAGAGGCTCAATGGGCAGTGAGTGGGGCTGCTGGGGAGGAAATTCCCCCATCCAGTGGATGGAGGAGACAGTGTCCCAGTTGGCCTCTGCCTTAAAATTCTAGTTTCTAGCAAAGTAACAAACAAAACAAAGTAACTGTCACCATTCTTTTCATTTAGAGAGCAAGCTAAGAGTGAACTCAACCAGTCAAGTCCAAGAGATCTTCATCAACTCCAACACCAACATAGAATGTAGCATCTTGTCCCAGTCCACTGGGGACCTCCAGTTAGCCGTTATTTGGTACTTCTCTCCCATTTCCATGAATGCAACCTGGCTGAGGATCCTGGAAATGGACCAAACCAATGTTGTAAAATATGGGGATGAATTTCACTCCCTACTGAGACAACAAAAATTCCACCCCAAGAAAGTTTCCCAGGACTTGTTTCAGCTACAGATTCTGAATGTGGAAGACAGCGATCAGGGCAGATACCACTGTGCTGTGGAAGAATGGTTCTTGTCCAGAAACGGCACTTGGCACAAGCTTGGAGAAAAGAAGTCAGGTCTGACAGAATTGAAACTCAGGCCCACAGGTAAATCTCATGAGTATATTCTCACAACGGCTTTCTAAAGGATGGCCTTCTTCTCTTGGGCAGCTCTTCAATGGAGTGATTATGTTGAAGGTAGAAATGTGACCCAGGGTCATAGGGATAGTGGCCACCTACACAATGAATGCAGGACCTGGTGGCCCAGTAGAGGACGTGGGAATCACATAAGGTGAGTCAATCTGAGGTTTTGAGGAGTCTGGATGGGAACAAGATCCCTTTGATTGGTTTGCCTGGCAGCCTGGCAGCCTGCTCTATGCAGCTACCCAGGGTATCATATCTCTAGATCTCTGTAATAACAAGCTGTGTCATTCCAGTGGGGCTCTACTGTAATTTGGCAAAGAGAGAGTAATACGAAGCATATTTCTCCCACTGTGAACAGAAACTGTACAACTCTATAGGGATGTGTGGAGAAATTGCTTTTCAACATTTGGCTGCCTAAACATACGGCAAATAAGAGTAGTTAACTGTCGGAATGCTTACTGAGGGAGTCTCCTCTTCCTCAGGAGAGCTCTGAAACTGTAATAGAAGTTCCATCCACGTGCGCTGGTCTAAGAGCGCTGCGGTTGAAGTGTGGGCAGGGTTGGTTAGATCTCTTGGTATCCGTTTGGTCACCTCCAGGGTTGATTAAAATGAGACAGATGTCACGGCTAGGGTTCGGGAACTGGCTGAGATCCAACAGCACAATGCAAAGAAGTTAGTCTGGTTTGGTGCTTAAAACTGCATTTTCAACGGAACACCCACAAATAAGATTATAATAAACGTTACTGTGTATTAGACAGTTAGAGATACAAAGAGAAATAAGGCACAGCTCTTGCCTTAAGGAGCTTACGGTCTGTAGGGGGGGCAGTGGAGCCAAACAGTAGTGGAGCATAAGGCTCTCTTTTCTTGCTGCTCTGGTTCCCCTTCTCTGTGTTCTTCAGGCCCTTCTTCTCCCTGGTAAATGTGGGTGCTCCTCAGGGACAGATCCTGGGCCCCTTTGTCTCATTATTCTCTGCTCTCTCCAGAACTTCTCAAATACTGTGTTGGTTTCAACTACCACCTTCGATGAAATAGCGCAAAGTCTTTACACTTCGCTCCGATCTCCTGAGCTCCGGCTCTTTCTTCCCAACCGCCTGTTGTACATTTCTGCTCGGATGCCCCCGAGACCCTCACGCGCAGCACGTCCCAAACCTCATTATCATTCTTGCCATCCCACAAGACCCGTGCAAACTTCTGCATTCTCCATCTGTGTGGCTGGCAGCCCTTTCTCCCGGTTGCCTAAGCCAAATCTTGACAGTGTTCGCACACCCTTTAAGGAGGCAGCCGCTCCTTGGCTCAAGCTAGCAAACCCTTCCCATCCGGAAATGCGGGCTCAGTGTTGCCCAATCTTTTAGTACATCAAGAAACGCCTAACATCTTTTTTGGTGATATCGCTTGGTGGAGACTATACACAGCTAATCCAAATTTTTAAAAAAGACTGTGGGAGTCAAACAAAACATATCTGTGGGTTAGGTGTGGCTGGCTGGGGGTGGCCAGCTGTGTACCCCGGGGCAGGGAGTGAGTTAAGAGGCCCCAGGGAGAGATACTGAGAAGGAGTGGTCAGAACTGCAGGAGAGACACGTTCTCTGAAATCAAAAGGAGAGAATTTCAAGAAGAAAATGGACTTCGGTGATAAAACCCACAGAGCGGGCAACAAAACCAGAGTGTCTTGAGCTGGGAAATCAGGCCCATACTAATGATCTTGGCCAGAGCATGGGATAGAATTAGAAGGTGTTTGCATTAAAGTAGGGAGGAATTTGAGATGAGGAAGCAGAGACAGAATCATATAAACTAATATTTCACATACTTTGCCATGAATGGAGGGAGAGAGTAAATATGGCAACAACAACAAAAATCCAGATATGGGACGCCTGGGTGATTCAGTTGGTTGAGTTTCCAACCTTGTTTTAGGTCATGATCTCATGGTCCATGAGTTGGAGCCCCGAGTGGGGCTCTGTGCTGACAGCTCGGAGCCTGGAGCCTGCTTCAGATTCTGTGTCTCCCTCTCTCTCCGCCCCACTCATGCTCTGTCCCTCTGTGTCTCTCAAAAATAAATAAACATTCAAAAAAAACTTTTTTAAGATTGATCAATAAATGTGTAGTAGAGTTGAAAATTTAGCGTATACTATAGTTTATTTTGTTAGTAACTGCTCTGGTCTTCATTTGAAGTTCTCACCAGCAGGTTAGGAGGGGAAAATTTTTCTTAAGTTTATTTATTTTGTGAGGCAGGGGAGGGGCAGAGAGAGAGAGAGACAGAGACAGAGGGAGAGAGAAAGAATCCCAAGCAGGCTCCATGAGCACAGAGACTGACATGGGGCTCGAACTCACAAACCATGAGATATGACCTGAACCAAAATTAAGAGCCAGATGCTTAACCAACTGAGTCACCCAGGCACCCCAGGAGAAAATTTTTAAGAAGGAAATGTCAAAATCTGTTTAAGACTTAGTCTAATCCAGTAATTTAAATCATCTTTCCTTGAGTGGTATTCTAATACTTGTATAAAAATGTTCAGTCTCTCAGATAGCCTCCTCTTTCCCTGCGTCTTGGACTGAGATGATATCTGGGTATATGGGAGGAAGGTAATTTGCCAAGAATGAGGGGCAGTGGTGCAGTAATGACTTGAGGGAAGAGCCAGAAGTTTTGGATGGTCCATCTGGGCAGAAGAAGAACAAGTTGGCCAGGGAGAGGCAAAACAGCAGGGCAGAGCACCCACTGAAGCTGGGTGGCTTCAGAGGCAGGCCTTCAGCAGACAAGAGGTAGGGCTGAAGGGAAACGGCTGGTTTGCTTCATCGCACAGAATGTTCTAGCAAATGTTGAAGAAGGACGGGGGTCAAGGGAAAAGGTTAAAGATGAGAGACCTGGTTATCTAAAGAGTTTAAGATGGCATCTCCTCAGTGGGAACTAGATCTTTCAGAGGGGGTACCCAATCTAAAAATCTGGATTCTTCTCTAAACGATTGCCATTTTATTTCCTAGGAAGCAAGGTACGTGTCTCCAAAGTGTACTGGACAGAAAATGCTACCGAGCACACAGAGGTGGCCATCCACTGCAGCCTGGAGAGTTCTGGCAGCTCGGCTTCTCTGTACTCTGTGATGTGGTTGCGCAACAGGGAGCATTCAGGAAGGAAAATGCTGGTACACCTTCGGCATGATGGCTTGCTGGAGTATGGTGACGAGGGGCTCGGGGGGCATCTGTACTGTTACCGCTCATCCCCTACAGACTTTGTCCTGAAGCTTCGTCGGGTCAGAATGGAGGATGCTGGTTTGTACTGGTGCAAGGTGACAGAGTGGGAGCCGCATGGTAACCCTGGCACGTGGGTCAACCGAGCATCAGATGAGTCCCAGCATGTGGTGCTCACGGTGCTGCCTTCAGGTAACTAGGGGTTAATCTGCCCCGGCCCCTGGTCAGGAGAGTCTTTGCCCCCCGCCCTGTCTTGTGTTTCCCTCCCAGTTACGTTTTGCTGAAAGCAGTTTACAGATTGCCTAAAGAAAGTGACTTTGCAGTTTCTGTCAATAGTGATTGCTAGTTCTCATTTGGACAGATGAGGTATACGCAAGGTTTCGGGCACAGACACGGAAATGTCAGGGGCATCTGACCTGCTTCCCCCGCCCCTTCTCCTCCCGAACCAAAAAAGCCATCCACATCGTATCCCTTTCAATAACAAAATTACGTTCGAAGCGGACATCTTTACCCCTTGGCTGGTTCTCCAGTCTCAGAATGCTCGGATCTGCAGAGGGAGTTGGAATGAGGGATAGGGGCCTGGTGACGGGATGTTTCATTTGGTCTCACTGCAGTCAACTGCCTCTACATGCTCCCCACCTCCAAACCAAAGCGAAACTTTTCTTAATGAGTAAGCGCCATGTTCTTCTCTCTCGATAGGTCAACAAATCAGCAGGGCTTTGAGAACGCTAGTCATGTGGTGGGTGGGCCTCACCTGACTGCAGCTTGAAAGGCATCAGAGAAGGAGGTATGCCCTGTGGAGCTTGCTTATGGGGTCCAGAGAGGAAGGCAGCTCCTTAAAGACCTTGGCCCAAGAGTGACCATTGTCCACGTGGGAAGGCCAACCTACTCGGCTAGTGCACAGCTTGAGGAGGGGTGTGGAGCAAGAGGCTGTGAAGGAGAAGAGGGCAACCTTCCAGCCAGTACAGTGCCAAGCATGCAGTAGGCATTCATTAAGCATTTGTTAATGAAAGCAAAAATTTCTCCAGCCAGACCAGTAAATCTTCCCTGGTGATCAGTGTGCTGGCTAATATGGCCAGCTCATCTCTGAGCTGCTTCTTTCTTTCTTTCTTTCTTTCTTTCTTTCTTTCTTTCTTTCTTTCTTTCTTTCCCTTTTTATGTAAATTGTTTTGATGTTTATTTATTTTTGAGAGAGAGAGAAAGAGAGAGAGGGAGGGACAGGGAGAGAGTGGGAGAGGGGCAGAGAGAGAGGGAGACACAGAATCTGACACAGGCTCCAGGCTCTGAGCTGTCAGCACAGAGCTGGATGAGAGGCTTGAACTCACAAACCCACATGATCATGACCTGAGCCAAAGTTGGATGCTTAACCGACTGAGCCACCCAGATGCCCCTGAGCGGCTCCTTCCTGGTGGGGTTTAGGGAAAAGGCGAGAGGTGCGCTGAACTTAATAGTGGGAAGGGGACACTGGAGATGCATAGCTGTGACCTTGGTGCCCCACACCAGCAAGAGTAAAAAGGATCAATTCTAGGTAACATTCCTGAAACACCAGCTAGCTTTGGTGACACTCTCTGGGGGGAAAAAGCGGTGCTGGGAATAGGTGGCAACTTCTCCAAAATAGGGACAGTTGTGTCCCCGCCCCAGCCAGGCTTCTAGAGCAGAAGTCAGAGTTCTCTGACTTGCTCCCTAGGGCTCCAGCATCCTCCTCCCCCAAGTGTTCTTCAGCAGAAGTTTTCTCCCCAGTGTCCAGAAGATATTTTTCTTCTATTCCAACAATTACGGGAAGTCCCACAACCTGAGCACATTCCATACATGTTTTCTCCCTGGAATCCCTAGGCTCTGTAGAATCAGCACTTTTTGTAGCAGAATAAATAGATAATAACTGTAATAAATATATATTCTGTGATGAAAAAGCACATCTCCTCTGAGAGACATGGGATCCTACACAGCAATGTATATATATATATATATATATATATATATATATATATATATATATATATATATAGTTAATCTTTCTAGAATCCTTACAAGTCAGGTGTAAGGTTTTTAGAAGATAAACTCTGGAAAGAAAACATTAAAAGTTGGGAGGTCTTTGTATTCTTTACAGTTGAAGAAGCTTGACAACCTGTGCCATGATAAGCTGAGGGTTTTTGTTATAGACACAGTGGGGGTTCCCAAGTAAATCCTTGCTTACAGCATTTTGCTTCCTCTACCTGGCTGTTCTTTCCTGGTAGTTGGGGAGGCAGTGGGGGGGGGGGGGGGGGGGGGGGGGGATGCGAAATCCCAGGGTTTGGAATCAGACAGGCCTAGGCTTGGATCACAGCCCCCTGCCACCTATGAGCTGTGAAATCATACCCTGGTTCCTTAACCACTGTGAGCCTCAGCTTACTTATAAAATGAGGATCGTAATACAGATGTGTGTAAAGTAGCTAGCATAGTCCATGGATATTGTAAGTGCTCAAGAAATGTTAACTCTCTTTCCTCTTATGCCTCCAAACATGCTATACACACACAGAGACAACACACACACACATACACACACACGTATATACTATATCTATATACATCTATATCTATCTATATCTATATATATGACAAAATATTTTTTAATATGTACCTCTTACTCCTTTTATTATTTTTAATGTTTATTTGTTTTTGAGAGAAAGGGAGAGAGAGAGACAGTGGGAGAGGGACAGACAGAGAAGGGGACACAGAATCCAAAGCAGGCTCCAGGCTGTCAGCATAGAGGCCAACAAGGGGCTTGAACCCACGAACTGTGAGATCATGACCAGAGCTGAAGTCTGATGCTTAACTACTGAGCCACCCAGGCACCCCATGACAAAATATTTTAAGTTGTTCAATAAATAACCATGTGAGCTTCTGAGATCACAAAAGCATGTATTACAGAGTCTGTTCCCAAAGAGCTCAGATTCTTTTTCCTTTTTTTTTTAATGTTTATTTTTTGAGAGAGAGCGGGGGGGGGGGGGGGGGAAGGAGGCAGAGAAGGAGGAGACAGAGAATCCCAAGCAGGCTCCGTGCTGTCAGCACAGACCCTGATGTGGGGCTCAGACTCCCGAACCGTGAGATCATGATCTGAGCTGAAACCAGGAGTCGGATGCTTAACCAACTGAGCCACCCAGGCATCCCTCAAAGAGCTCAGATTCTGTTGGGGAAGTAAAGTCCAAAATGGTAGGTGTCATCAAAGAAATAGTTTTAGGGTGCTGCACAAGGAGCAGAGGCAGGGCTGGGGTGAAGGGCTGGGTGGGGAGGAGATCTGGGAAACTCCCCAGAGTATGGGGCCTATGAAAAGGAAGAGGACATATTTTAGGGAAAGGAAAGGCTAGACAAGATGATCATAAAAACTGCGGTGCAAGGGCAGGGGCACCTGGGCAGCTCAGTTAGTTTAAGTGTCCGACTTTGGCTCGGGTCGTGATCTCCTGGTTCGTGGGCTCGAGCCTTGCATCGGACTCTGTGCTGACAGCTCAGAGCCTGGAGCCTGTTTCAGATGCTGTGTCTCCTTCTTTCTCTGCCCCTCCCCAACTCATGCTCTGACACTCTCTCTCTCCACTCATCTCTCTCTCAAAAGTAAATAAACATTAAAAAATTATTAAAAAATAAACTGTGGCGCAAGGGTAAGAGAGGCAGCTAGTGAGATGGGAGGGTATGGATCTCAAACTCACCCCACGTATGTAGCTAAGGAAGGTGAACTGAGTCATGAACCTTATGGAGTGTCAGCGAAGTTCAATCAGGGGAGTGACATCATGAGATCTGCATTTTAGGAAGCTCCTACTGGGAGCCCTGTTAAAGATGAGTTGGAAGGGAGGCAGACACAGAGCAGAGAGCACTATTTGAAATTATAGTAGGAACCCAGGTGAGACAAGATGAAGGTCCAAATAGGGGCGCCTGGGTGGCGCAGTCGGTTAAGCGTCCGACTTCAGCCAGGTCACGATCTCGCGGTCCGTGAGTTCGAGCCCCGCGTCGGGCTCTGGGCTGATGGCTCAGAGCCTGGAGCCTGTTTCCGATTCTGTGTCTCCCTCTCTCTCTGCCCCTCCCCCGTTCATGCTCTGTCTCTCTCTGTCCCAAAAATAAATAAACGTTGAAAAAAAAAAAAAAAAAGATGAAGGTCCAAATTAAGGCAGTGCTTTAATGAGGGATGAGAGAAAAGCAGGCAGTCGGTGTTAGGCAGCATCATCTTCAGGATTTAGAGACTGATTAGGTGCATGTGGAGGGTGAATGGGCAGAAGGGGAGAATCAAGGATGAATAAGAAGTTTCTAGCATGGGTGGTTAGTGGGGACATTCACTAAATGAGGTAATATAAGGTCTGATGTAGAAATTAGTTCAATTTTGAATAAGTTGAGCTGGAATTGATGTGTGGAGTATGTGTGAGTTATCCAGAGAGTTCTACCCAATAGACATGGGGATTTCCAAGAGAGATCTTTGCCAGAGCTGTAGATTAGTAGGCATCAACTCATAGCCAATAATGGTGTCCAACGACGCATCCCTGAGATACTATTGATCAGGGAAGTACAGAAGAGGAGACTGAAGGGGAATGAAAGGAGTAGCCAAGAGGTAGGAGGAGAACCAGGGTTTGGTGGTATCCTAGAAACCAAAAGCAGAGAGCACAGCAAAAGGGAAGGGAAAGCCAACAAACTCAACTATTGTAAAGAGGTCAATTAAGATAAGAACGGGCAAGTGTCCATGGGATTTCACACTGCAGGGCAATTGCAGAGAAGTAATGAGAAAAGGCAGACCACAGTGAAAGAGTGGACACATCAAATATAGATTACACTTTCAAGAGCTTTGATGTAAAGGTAAGAGAGAAGATAAGTGGCAAGAGGTGTCAGTGAAGTTTTACTTTGTTCTGTTTTGGTTTGGAGCTGGTAGGGACTTGAGCACTTAAAAAAATTCTAGAGGGGAAACAGGCCGCAGAGAGGAAGATGATGAAGCTATACCACCTGCTGACTGCAGTGCCCCTCCATGCCACCTTTGGTCAACACCTACTAATCCTTCACCTCCCAACTTATCTGCTACCTTCTCAGGGACTAACATGCTACCAACTCTCCACTTCTCAGATGGTTTTCTGCCACCTCCCTGTGGCAATTTCAGGGTGGGTTAGTTTAGGACTACCTAATAAATCTGTGGAGCGCTGTGGCTCAAGTGGAGACAGAAAAGTTAAGACGCATCTCCCTGGGGGAATGGAATGGACCTGGCATTTGCTTCTCCATCTGACTTCCTTACCTATGACTAAGCCAAGGCAGGGGCTAGAGATACCCTAGTCTTCCTACCTCACCCTCAGACCCCAGACATAAATGTCTTATTCTAGAGAATTCTGTGTAATTAATTAATAGGCAAGATTATAAGGCTTTCTGGGGACTGGATTACTTGTCATCATATGTATTTGTTACTCTTCCCCAGCTTCTAGGTGGGTAAGGATATAGTTAGAAAGTGACCCTTCAAAGGAGATATGTGCCCCTACCACACTGAAGTTTCTGGAGAGACCATACATTTTTCTATGCTACCCCGGTGCCTCCCACAAAGTCTGGCACGTAGTACTCAATAAATGCTTCATGAAAGAATGAGCAAGCGAGTCTTCAGTTGGGATGAAACAGGATACTGTCAGGCACCATTCATTCTGGGATGCGCTTGTATTGGGTTCCCGAACCCTACTTTCATTTCTTGGCGGGAGCCAACTCTCTCCCGTGGCCACACTTGGCATGGTCCGTTGCTGAATTTGGGTTGGGGTGGGGGCAGAATTGGTAGCCCCCTCGCTCTCCGGTATCTGTCCTCTGCTGAAGTCAGTACTTCTGAGGTAATATGGAAAAGGAATGCTCCTCGTGGTGTATTTGGCTGTGCGTGGGAGCAAGTTATCAACCAAGCCTCGTGATGAAGTGTTCTCATTACACTTTTGGCTCTGTCTTGCAGACCTTGTACTTCAAGCATCGGGCACTTACTCGGATTGATTCAAAATGCCAAACCTTAATGGTTTGGGATGTCACTAATTCTAATCCAGATATGGGTGAGAGGCAGATGGTGGGGACTGGTGATTGTGGGATCTAGAGCAAACCCTGCCCTCCCAGGAGAGGTAATTTAGAAGCACTGGAGCTGACAGTTGCTAGCTGTTGGCCAACTCGGCACTGTGACGAGCGCCTGTGCTATCCTTTGATGGCAGATTGCTCCACACAGAGCAGTCTCCTCCCCATTAAGATACCCAAGCCCTCTGGCAGTCCCTTCACACTGAAGGTTAGAGTCTCAGGGGAAAAAGAAAAAAAGCCAAGTACCAGATTTCTTCTCACCTTCTGCGTGCTGGTGCAAATCTCTTCAGTATCACACCACCGTCCTAGCAACGGTGACACAGAGGTGGACTCTCACTTCCCAATTCTCTGCCTCCCATGATAGGGAAGGGAAGTCAGAGTCTCCTATGTAATCATTCGACTCTCAGTGGAACGTCACCCAGCCATGGAGACGGAGGGACCAGAGACTTGAGGGAGAGACTGGGCCTGCGGAAGAACGTGGCCAAGCTTGTGGTGCCTGTGTGGGGAACCAGCTGGTCAAGCCCCGTTTTCTACCCGGTCTCTTGGGAGAGCATTGCCTGTGATTTTCCTACCAGCGTACTGATAGTTATTCCTTGCTGACTCAACAGATGTGCTGAGCGCTCTGTTAAATACTTCATTATCTTATCACGACTCTAGAAATTATTATCCCCATTTGATCGATGAGGAAACTAAGCGTTATTGAGGGCAAGTAACTGGTCCAATGTCGATAACAGTATGTGGAAGAGCCAGAATGTGAACCCGGCTCCCTTCGAGATGGAAGAGGTACTCAGTCGCTACTGTGCATACGAGTAGCGTGAAGTGTCAAGGCCAGTGCTCTTCTCCGCTGTTTTCTACAGCTCCGGTCTCTTTCAGCACTGCCATTTCTACCTCCTTCCTACCCACATGCCTTCAGATATATTAAGATAAGACCTGGGGAGATTTATTGTAGTCAAGCAGGGCCTTGGAGAGAGGGGTCAGATAGGATATAGAGAGAGAGGGTGATATGAATTAAAAGTCTAGCTTTATCATTGCCCACCATTTCAAAAACCAAAACCAACTTGAGGACGAAGAATGTACATGAGACCAGAGAAAATCCAGCTGCAAACTCCTTCAGCTCGTCAAGTCCTGTTCAGAGCTAGCCTCATGTTCAGTGATGGTCTTTACTCTGTGTAACAGGACGACAGCCACCCCTGGGTTCCTGTGTGTGCAATGCACTCACGCAATTGATTCATCCATCGGTTTCCATTGATGACCTATGGACAAAGTGCTGTACAAGATAAAAAGACACATAAGACATGGGCTCTGTCCTTCAGGAGTTCACAAGGCAGGAACCGGACAAATGTTTGAGGCTCTTTCTTGACTTCCAACAAAGAGACGTTCTTCAAGGTGCAAATGCATCAACAATGCCAAAAATGGAATTCTTGCGGTAGAGGTTGGTGGAAATGACCTCCAAAGCCGTTTACATCTCTAAGAGTCTATAATCCCATGAATCCTATAACTTAACTTCTGAAGAAGAACTTGCTTATATCATTACAATTTTCCAATAAAAGCTCAGCTACTATCAGTATCAGAGTTTTCCAAAAAGCCCCAAGTTCAAATATCCTGTCATAAACAAATGTCATCGGAAGACTACATTTAGTAGGTGTCTCTCTAAGCATGTGCCTTTGTGCATGGAGGCTGTTAGGCACTGCTTCCTGGAACCTGTGGTGTTTGCAGCCCTGTCCCCTTGCCTCTCTGGCCGTGTGGCCAGGAGCCACTTTGGGACTGCTTGTGCATGCCTGGCGTGTCTGTGCGCTGACAGTGCCCCCCTCCTGCCCCCGCCACGGACTGCAGTTGCTGGAAGATCGTGTGCTTTAGCTTGCCTTTGTATAGTAGCCTTTGCCCAGGTGGTTGCAGTCAGTCCGGTTCGATTCAGATCAGCCAACGTTGTCAGGCAAGTGCCGGGCATAGCAGGGGACACAGAAACCAATGACGCTATCAGTCGCTACCAGTCGTACTCAACTGTGGTGGAATGAAGGAGATGGATAAGGAGGAACAAAAGTGGTCTACACCAGGGGGTATGTGAGAGGAGCATTGGAAAGGACTGTGCCTGAGGCAGGTAGAGGACCCAGGAGAGGAAGTGTTGTCTGAGCTGGGTCAGGAGGACCCAGAGGATTAGGATGCAGAGAGCATGCGTGATGGAGGCAACAGTAAGGGCAACACAGGAGGGGAGCCAAACGGAGGGTGCCTGGGTGGGGGGATCCCAACAGGAGAGTCCGGACCGAGCTTCTCACTGTAGTTGTGTAAAAACAGCGCACTGTGTGAGTGTGCACACGTGCATGTGTGTGTGCCGCGTGCGTGTCCATGTGAGTACGCACACTTAAGCAGCAGCAGTGGGAATAACTCAGTTAAAAATTCAGGACCAGCAACAGAGCTGAGAACGAGGGTTGAATTATAGATATCTTTTCTGAGGATAGAAGATTAAAGGAGAGGTTTTCTTTTTTTGTTTTATTTTTCTTCGTGGCTGTTGGTTTTAAGTAGGTCATTGGAACCCCCCGCCCAGTGGTTGGGACATGCTGGGTGAAGGCAGCTAGGCTGGAAGAGCCCTATTCTGGACTCCTCTGCCCACATACGATTTAAAGGGCCCACCACTACTTGGCCCCACTATTTTTACATCTATTTCCCTGTAACAATAAATCCCCCAAGTGTTTATCATTGATTAGCGCAGGTAAGCTGGAGACTAATTATCTTCTTTATTGTTCTTTTCATTGCAGAGCCCACATTTCCCTCCAGGATCTGCTCATCAACACCTTTACTCTATTTCCTATTCACCTGCCCCTGCATTCTGTTTATCCTTCTGCTCATTTCCCTCGTCTGCTTGTACCACAAAGCCAGGAGGTTGTCGGCACTGAAGCTAAACACGCTGAAAGAAAAGACTCTCTGGGTGGATTTGAAACGGGCTGGAGACTGGGTAACCACCTGGAGGGAAGAGGAAGACCATTGAATCCCGAGAGCCCTCTGCAGCCCTATGGAAAGCGTGGGCTCTGGAATTGGACTGAGTATTGGTGTGAATGAATCCTGATTGTGTCCTTCTTGGTGTGTGTGGCCTTGGGCAAGTTACCTAGGAATCAGAGGGAATGTGTATGTGGTTTCTTTGTGTGTTAAGTCATCTACCCCTTGCCTTCTCCCAGGAGTTAGAAGATTTACCCTGTGTTTCATTTGCCGCACCTCACAGAGGTTCAGGGTCCCCTTCTGTAAGGAGAGAACTTCCCTCACACAGCCTCTTGGGTATTAGTTGCGATCCTATGGCGAAGCCCGGGGTGAGGCTGCCCTCTGCTTTCTCCTCCCTTATGTCACTGATTCCCAGGAAGGCATTCCGAGTGGTCCAGTCACACTGGCTCTAGGTAATCTTTTGCCCCCAAATAAGAGGTGTGGGAAGGGGCCTGATGTCAGCAAGGCAAAAAGGAATTGGGAATATGCCCTTCATTCACATCAGATCTACTTCCCAATGTGGATGTGACTTCCTTCAATGCAGAAACCCTGTCTTGCCCCCATCCCATCTATAAATGCTACTCAAGGACAATCTCTGTGTAGACGGTACCTAATTAATATTGATGGGTTCTTTGAAGAAATTATAAAGCATTTTGTAGTCTGAGTTTCTGCTTCCTCTTTCTTCCTCCCTCCTTCCCTTCCTCGCTTTCTCTGTTTTCTTTCTTTCCTTCTTTCTGTCTTTCTTTCTTTCTTTCTCCTCACCTCACCTCTCATCTCCTTTTCTTCTTTTCTCTATAAGACTATTAGGTCATTAGGTCATTAGGAAAAACTTTTTTTTTTTTTTTTAACGACAGTCAACCCCAAGGCCTCATATCTCCCCTTCCTCCCCACACCAAAAGATCCATCTGGGTCCTGGCTTTTAGCCAATGCCTTATTTTCTTTGACCTGACAGCACTGGGTAGTAGCACAGAGTGTCGTGGTAGTTCTTTGGGGGAGGAGGAGTAACAGGGCCCCTGTCCCCTCCTCCTCCAGCAGGGGCTGGGAGCCCAGGGGGATCACTGGGTCAAGTCTGGCTCCTCAGAGTCCCCAGTTCTCAGCCAGGAAAGGTCAGGAGGGCTGGGATTGGGGAGTGGCCATGGCTTACGGCTTTTAACAACTGGCCCCCAGGATATGACAACTGTTCCCACTGGGCCTGAGGTCTCCTCATCTTTGTTTCAAAAGCTGCTCAGGCCCTATCGTAGCCAGAATTGGAAATCAATCAGTGCCACCTAACAGACTTGAGAAAACGCATCTATTTATTATCTATGTGACCAATGGGGTTGCTTTAACACTTGGCGATTTGCATGTCCAAGGAGAGCAATTTATTTTTATTTTTTTTTTTTAATTTTTTTTTCAACATTTATTTTTATTTTTGGGACAGAGAGAGACAGAGCATGAACGGGCGAGGGGCAGAGAGAGAGGGAGACACAGAATCGGAAACAGGCTCCAGGCTCCGAGCCATCAGCCCAGAGCCCGACGCGGGGCTCGAACTCCCGGACCGCGAGATCGTGACCTGGCTGAAGTCGGACGCTTAACCGACTGCGCCACCCAGGCGCCCCGAGAGCAATTTATTTTTAATTATTTTATCAAGCACACACGTCTTCTGCAAACATAATTAGTTCCCTTGCCAGGGGATTACCGGGGCCCTGAGAACTCCCACTGTAGCCTATGGGTTCCTTACGTTTCTCTCCCTCTATCGGCTCATTTGAAACACTACAAGTGTTTCCTTAAATGTGTCAACACATTTGTCTCTTGTCTCTCAGGTAGGGTGGCATATTTTTCAGAAAACAAAGCTAAAGTTATGACTCCTTAGAAAGTGTGATGCCCCCTGCCCACCCCCCCCCCCCGCCCCCGGCAGAAACCTGGAGTTTAACTGGTATTTTGAAGAGAAAGAACAGAATTGAGCCCCGTCAGATAATCCCAGCAGACTCTAGTACTGTCCCCTGCCTGGGCTACTCTTTCCCCTTATCTCTCTTCCTCTGTCCTCAGCTGGGCCCCGCCTTTCAGAAGCTTGGAGCTCAAACAGCACTTTTTCACGTTTGAATCCGGCTCAGACATTGCACAGAGCAGACACTCAAATGTCCAACCGCACCACCCAGCGCAGAACACGGGAACGATTATTTCGCAGTGAGCACCTCCTAGTGTCTGGCAGAGATGGGGGTGAGGGATCTAGTGGTGACCCGACCAACATGGTGCCCCATCCCCTGGGGTCGTCACCCTGCATCTTCTGGATGCTCTGCTTTCATACAGCACGTTAGATGTTCAGAGAAGCCACACGGCTCCATTTGGCCCACGGGGAATTTTCAGGCAACCAAGCCCCAAAGTCATCTTTTCTCTTTTCTTGAACTGAATAAAATTTTTCACCTAACTCAGGAGACATTTTACATGAAACCTCTTCTTTTTCCAAGTATGTACTTGTTCCATTTTCCTGTCTAAAACTTAGTACAGAATTGTACTTTTGTTCATTGATTTCAACTTTTCCGTTCTATGTCAGCACCTGGTTTTCCCGTCAGCATCTTGTGTTTCAAAACCTCTTTGTAACAGAACAACCCTCTGTCTCAGGAGTTGGCCACCTATGGCCCACAGGCCGAATGCTGCCCACCACCTGTTTTTTAAAATACGATTTGTGCGAATACAGCCACTCCCATTTGCCTACATATTATCTCCGGCCGCTGTCACAATAAAACAGCAGTGGTGAGTCACTGCCAGGGGGGCTATATGACCCGCAACGCCTAGAATATTTACTATCTGACGCTTTACAAGAAAAGTTTTCCAACCCTGCTCTTTTTTAGTGGCTAGTGTTCTGTCTCCGCCGTGCCCTGTGCTCCTGGGAAATTTTATTTGACCTGTTGTATCTGTATCTGTAATATACCTGATTAACTGAAGAATAATCCTAAGCCCTCTGGATCAGTGTCCAGTCCAAACAGTTGTGAAGTTCGAATCCTCTGCCATACTCCTACTGGAGATGGAAAATGCATCACTCTGGAGGTATTCCTACTCTGTGTGGGGTGAGACGACAAGGAGGTGACAAAGGCATGAATAGGCTGTTTTTGTTCTTTATAGTCTATTGAGATGTATAGGAAACAAGATCTTGAACGTGCACAAGAACTTGGCCTTTATTTGGTGGACAGTGGTGAGCCATTGAATGTTATTTAGCAGGGAAGGGGCAGCTCCCTTCAGGAGAATTGAAAAAGGAGCAGCATAGATGATGGGTAGGAGTTGGGTGAGGGCTGGGGCAGTACCAGGACAAAATGAGACCGCTAGCCTCAGGACACCACCTCCACTGTCCTCTAATTTGTGTAACAGGGATAAAAACAACTTTATGAGGTTTGTGGACTGAACCAAACTGTCAGAAAGTTTCAAGTCTTACAGCAAGCTCAAAGAGGTAGCTAATGTATATTTGTTAAAGACAATGACATGTTATGAGATTCTTCTTCTGGTTAATAAATATTAATTTTCTATTGGTAAGTGTAGAGATGAGAGAGTAGTATCTTTTCACTTAATTGGCTTTCCATTTACCTTATCTTTTGTGTTTTTAAAGATTTTATGTATGTATGTATGTTTATTTTAGACAGAGAGAGAGAGAGAGAGAGAGCAAGCATCGTGGGGGAGGGGCAGAGAGACAGAGGGGGACACAGAACCCGAAGCAGCCTCCAGGCTCTAGCTGTCAGCACAGAGCCTGATGTGGGGCTCAAACCCACAAACTGTGAGATCATGACCTGAGCTGAAGTCTGACGCTTAACCAACTGAGCCACCCAGGCGCCCCTAAAGACTTTATTTTTAAGTAATCTGTACAACGAATGTGGGGCTTGAACCTACACCCTTACCTTATCTTTTTGATGCTTGCTTTTTTGTTTAATTTACTTGTTAGACATTTGGAGTTTCTACTATGTCATATTTAAATCCAAGGCTCCTTTTGGATCAGCTCTGACTTCCAAATAGAGATATTTTGACTAGAAGAATAATTATCACATTAAACCATTTGCTGAGATGGTTTTGGCGAGGAGGTATAAGTTCCTATGTCATAAATAACCAGTAAATGAAAACCTGAATTCGTTATGCCTTTAAGGTCACAATGGTACAGGGTGTTGAAAGTGTGTGCTTCAGTTTTAAATGGAGAGAGAATCCATTTTTGTGGATGGAGAGTCCCAATACTGTTAAGATGCCAATTTTCTCCAGATTGCTCCATAGATTTGATGCAGTGGTTATCAATCGGGGAGAGAGGGCAGGGCAGTTGTGCTTGCCAAAGGATATTTGGCAATTTACAGACACATTTTTTTAAATAATTTTTTTAAATGTTATTTACTTTTGAGAGAGACAGAGAGAGGCAGTGCGTGAGCAGGGGTGCGTGAGCAGGGGCAGGCAGAGAGAGCAGGAGACCTAGAATGTGAAGCAGTTCCAGGCTCAGAGCTGTCAGCACAGAGCCCAACGTGGAGCTCCAACTCACAAACCATGAGATCATGGTCTGAGCCTAAGTCAGATGCTTAACCGACTGAGCCACCCAGGCGCCCCTTGACCTGTGTGGCACCACCTGGGGTGGGGGGAAGGGTTACTACCAGCACTTAGTGGGCAGTGGCCAGGGTTGCTGCTAAATCTCCTGCAATGCACAGGACAGACTCCTTTCCCCACAGCAAAGCCCAAAATTTCCATAGCGTTGAAGATAAGAAACCCTGGTTTAATGGAATCATAATCCCAATCCCAGGTAATTTTAGAAATCGATGGGCTCATTCTAATAAATGAAAATAAAAATAATCTAGACAATATTTAGGAAGAAAAAGTTGGAGGAATTATGAGCTCAAGTTCCAGGACATTCTATAAAACTATAATAATTACAACAGTGTGTTGTAGGAGCATCTGGCTGGCTCAGTCCATGGAGCATGTGACTCTTGATCTCAAGGCCAGGAGTTTGAGCCCCATGTTGGGCATGGAGATTACTTTAAAAATAAAGTGTGATGGTATATATATTTAAAAACTATGTATTATAGGTGCAAGTATAAACAAGGAAATCAATGGAACAGAATAGAGTCCAGAAATATACATACATATGTAGATTTACCTAATTTCCATTATAGGTGCTACTGCAGTGGGGAAATCATGTTTCTTCTAGTTAGCTGACACCATTGGATATTCATATGAAAAACAAAAAAGAACCTTGACACCTACCTCACATTTTATACTACAAAGGAAAAAAAACTGGGCACCACTAAAATAAACTATTCATCAAAGATATCATTAATAAAGTGATTATACACAAGCCATGGATGGAGGGAAAATATTCACAAATCATATCTAACAAAGAATTTATATCCAGAATATATACAGAACTCCTATAAATAAATTTAAAAAAAAATTTTTTTTTCCAACGTTTATTTATTTTTGGGACAGAGAGAGACAGAGCATGAACGGGCGAGGGGCAGAGACAGAGGGAGACACAGAATCGGAAACAGGCTCCAGGCTCCGAGCCATCAGCCCAGAGCCCGACACGGGGCTCGAACTCACGGACCGCGAGATCGTGACCTGGCTGAAGTCGGACGTTTAACCGACTGCGCCACCCAGGCGCCCCATTTTTTTTTTTTTAAATTTTTTTTTTAATAAATTTTTAAAAAATGTTTAAATGTTTATTTTTGAGAGAGAGACAGAGAGACAGAACGTTAGCAGAGAGGTGCAGACAGAGAGGGAGACACAGAATCCGAAGCAGGCTCCAGGCTCTGAGCTGTCAGCACAGAGCCTGACGCAAGGCTCCAACCCACAAGCCACAAGATCATGACCTGAGCCGAAGTCAGATGCTTAACCGACTGAGCCACCCAGGCGCTCCTATAAATAAATTTTTTTAAAAAAGGAGGAGCATGAAGCTCATCTTAAAAATAGACAAAAGACTTGTACAGGGGTTTTACAAAAGAGAATTATCAACAGTCAATAATCACGTAGGTCAGTTCAGGCTTCATGAAGCATATGCCAAGATGGGATTAGACATACAAGGGGTCTACTGAGGGAAATGCCTATGAAGGAAAAGGGGGGTGGGGCAGGAGAAAGTGGGGAGAGCCCTGGACTGTGGTGCAGGTTTGACATCTATAAAAGGATCAGGGAAGGAAGGCGGATGATGTAGGAAGAACTGTAGACACTGCAGTTTTGAGGTAATCTGGGCCAAGCTGATGGGAGTCTCTTAAACAAAGATTGGCTATTGGAGAAGGGCTCTACTGGGCAGAAATGGTCTAAGTCTAGTATCTCTGCCCTGCTTAGTCTTTGACTGGAAACAGAAAATTTCCTGGGAAAATGTGGCCTTAGTGCGAGCATCGTGACAGATATGATGATCTAGCTGCTGGAAGCTGTCAGTCAGCTATGTTCCCTGCAGAAGGTTCCCTTGAAGTGAGATCTGAATAGTGCAGCCCCGTGGCCACAGCATCTGAAAAGACGCTCAACATCATCACTCATCAGAAATCTACAAATTAAAACAACCATGAGATACCCGGATGATTAAAATGTTAAAGACAATACCAAATATCAAACACAGGTAAGAATTTAAAGTTACCAGAACTTAATACGGTGCTGGTGGCAGTGTAAGTGTGTTCAACTATTTTGTAAAATAGTTTGGTAGTTTTTGATAAGCAACTCCACTCCTTGCGTTTACCCGAGAGAAAGGAATAGCTCTATCCACCAAAAGACATAAACGAAAATACAGCTTTATCCATCATTGCTAAAAACTAGGAACAACCCCACTGTCCATCAGTAGGTGAACGGACACATAGTTTATATATATTGTGGAATACTACACATAATAAAAATGAACAAACTGCTGCATACGTGACGGCATGGATGAATATCACAGCATTTTTTGAGTGAAATAAGCCAGGCACAAAAGGGTATGCACTATAAGATCCATTTATTTGAAATCCAAGAACCGGCAAAACAAATCTATGAGGACAGAAGTCACCATAATCATTTCCTCTGGTAGGGGGAGTATTGGCTGGGAAGTAGCAGGAAGAACCTTCTGGGGCAACTGAAATGTTTTTTATCTTTATCTAGGTGATGGTTTCATGGGTGTATGTATACCTATGTAAAAATGTACTAAGCTTTCTTAAGATCTAGCAATTTATGTAAATAATCTAATATATAACTTAATAAATATATATAGTAGTATATAACTGAAATAACTGTATGTAAATAACTTACACCGAAGTTAAATTTTTTTTTAACCTTTATTCATTTTTGAGAGACAGAGAGAGACAGCACAAGTTGGCTGGGGGCGGGGGGGGGGGGCCGGGGAGGGCAGAGAGAGAATGAGACATAGAATCTGAAGCAGGCTCCAGGCTCCTAGCTGTCGGCACAGAGCCCAACACAGGGCTCGAACTCATGAACCACGAGATCATGACCTGGGCCAGAGTCAGAAGCGTAACTGACTGAGCCACCCAGGCACCCCACAGAAAAAATTTTTTAAGTGTTTGAGAACCAACTAGATGACCAACACAGAGGGAGGGATTTTAATACACTGGGAAATAAGATTTTATTTGTTCCACAAACATTTCCAGATATTCCGCGTGTGCCAAGACATATGCTGGGAGTTAGGAATGCAGAAATAAGTGATATCATCCATTCCCTCTAGGAGGAAAGGAGAAGGGAGCTGATGTTCACTATGTTGAGCCGCCATCATGGGTTAGGAGCACCAGAGCTTTACAACAAACCTGTGAAGCTGAGATCTAACCATAAACCAGGAGAAAGCAGTTAAGTATCATGCTTTAAGTATCAAAAAGAGCTGGCCCTTGAGCCCAGATGCATGAACTCCAAAAGCAACACCCTTTCTATCACACTGTGCTTCCTCTACTTATAAAGATGCCACCATCTCATTCTGAGCAAAGAGCTGCACACACAAGGTAGAACAGGAGCACCATTGGGACAGAAAAACTAATGCCAGATGTTTGCTTTGTCACATGTTAGGATCCGGTTTGCTCTAAAAAGGGGAGACTAAATCTAGACAGGGGACAGGGGACCCCTTGGCACTCTTTGCCCTGGTTCCCACAGATGTCCATTTAATCCCATGCGTGTTGATTGCATGGCTACTCTGTGCTACCACAGGATGCTGCCCAAATAAACACATGAGAGCGTGTTTTTGTTATGGTCTCCCATGACTGAAGGCAAATGCTACCAGTTCTTGAGTCTGTCTGTAGGGAATCTTCGTACTGTTTAATAATCTCACGGCAGCTATTGGTACCACCCTGCTGGCGGCTAAGAATTGTCTGAGGATCTTCTGTTCTCAATACCCAAGATATGACCCTCCCCCCCACCAATAAAATGGTGCTGATGTCAGGATGGCCTTTACTCCTACACGTGGGCCAAATACCTCCAGTCCTAGAGCTGACAAATCGGGATGCTGTGCGAAAAAACCCGATCAGTATTAGGACCTAACGTCAGGTCCGAACACACACGTACTAAATTCTAAAGTCTAAGTTTCCAGTCCAAGTTCCTTGCTCAAAACTTTTCTTCATCGAGGGAAGGTATCCAGGGTAGTATTCAGTTTGGGTCGCTCAGAAGCAGTAAACCAGGAGCCATCCCAACCTGGCAACAGAAAGCTAAATGGCAACTATGATATTTAGTAATCCTTTCACACAAAAGAAAGAGCCAACACGTGAGCCCCCGTGAGAAGAAAGCCGCAGCAAGATAAAATTGAGGCTGCCAAATACTCCCTCTTAGGGCTCTCCTCCACTTTGACCTCTTGCTCCTTTTTGGTGGGACGCCCAACGAATACATCTGGTTTCTTAGTAGTCAGGAAGGTAACCTCTGGATTCAGACTGCCTGCGGGGAAACCCTGACATCCTTCGCTGGCTGTCATCTTTGCCAGTTAATCTTTCTTTGTCTCACTGCCCTCGTCCCTCCAGGGAGGGGATCCTCACTACTCCACAGAGTCTGTTGTGACGGTTAAATGAGATAGGCGCGTAAAGGAGACAGAACTCATAAGTGTTGGGCATCATCGACAGGCTGGACATTTTAATCGTCTCTGCTCCGGAAAAGGAAACCAGATACCTGCATTTCGCCTTCTAAATTCTTTAAAAAAAATTTTTTTTTCAACGTTTATTTATTTTTGGGACAGAGAGAGACAGAGCATGAACGGGGGAGGGGCAGAGAGAGAGGGAGACATAGAATCGGAAACAGGCTCCAGGCTCTGAGCCATCAGCCCAGAGCCCGACGCGGGGCTCGAACTCACGGACCGCGAGATCGTGACCTGGCTGAAGTCGGACGCTCAACCGACTGCGCCACCCAGGCGCCCCTCGCTTTCTAAATTCTTAACATGATCGTGGAAAGAACAGGGTATAGACATAAGGTCCAAGCATGGGCTTTGCTACAAAATGGGATCATTGTTTGGGTCCACCGCCCATGAACCTAATTTTGGGAAGGATAAGTATGATGTTTCAGGAAAGAGGATATCAAGGCAAATGTGGACAGAGGAACATTCGGACAAAATTGTCTGAGTGCTTTACAGTTAAATGAAGAGACAAGGGAGTTTAATCCAGGAGTTCCAAGTGAAGATATATAAATATATGGGAATTAATGGGGAAGGGAGTCACTAGAGACTCCTATCCTGAGGTAGTATATACCTATATTAATTAGCTAATTCAATTTGCATGCAGATTTGAGTGCAAATGGCACATCTGGAAAACAAATGTTATGGTAGATAGCAAATACTTAGCTTGGGAATTTGTTTTAGTCAGCTCGAGCTGCCGTAACAAAATGCCATAGACTGGGTGGCTTACACAACAGAACTTTAGTTTCTCACGGTCCTGGAGACGAAAAGTCCCAGATCAAGATGCCAGCCCACTGGCAAGCACCCTCTTCCCAGCTTGTAGACTGCCAACTTCTCTCTATGTCCTCATGTGACAGAGAGAGAGAAAGAGAGAGAGAGAAACACACACACACAGAAGAAGAGTCTCTCTGGTATCTCTAATAAGGGCACTAATCCCTTCATGAGGGCCTCAGCCTCAAGACCTTACCTAAACCTAATTATCTCCCAGTGGCCCCACCCCCACATACCATCACACTGGGAAACTGAGTTTCGTCATATGAATTCGGGGAGACACAGTTCAGTCCGTAGAAGAAATTGACAGTGTAATTAATGCACTGGACGGTGCTTTGCTCCATACCTGTGTTCTTCATGCCTGTTAACAAGCTTCAGATGCGGTAAGTTATCTGGTATGTTTTATTGTACACGCACACTCTTGGGTAGGGTGTACGGCTTAAAAACAAAATCACTCATGCGAACAGAATGTCCCCACCTACCACTGAGCCCTGCTCCAGCTGTTCTGTCAGATGTAGGCAATGGCGAAAGTGGCAGGAATTCTGTCACCTCGAGAAAAGTGTGAGGATGCAGAGGGACGACTTCAACGTGCACGCAGAGCTCCGGGCAGGCAGGCGAAGAACCTGGGTGAGTCCTCCTGCACAGCCAGTCCTTAATGCTGTCTCCCAGCTCGGGGACTGAAGACGAAGACCCTGAGGGTTGGCAGGAGGGGTAGCGGGAGCAGGAAGAGAGAAAGAGGAAGGGGAGAGAAGAATGAGGCAATTAGCATAAAAGTGAGAAAGCAGAAATAAAAGCCAAGGTCCCACAGAAAGAAGAACCTAGAAGCCCCTGCCCCACCCAAGCTCTTTTCTGGGGCTTAGGTGGGTCGGTCCCATCCGAAGCACCAGGCACCAGTAGGTTCTGAAGGAACCCACGGACTGGGAGACAGAAGGAGGCTGCCTGCTTCCCGGAAGAAACTGCCGGATGGCAGGAGGGGCGCTAAGCTCTGCGGTACTGGGGCCAGGCCTCACTGGGCGCCCCGGGCTACTGCAGAGGGGAGGCTGTGTCTGCTCTATGGAAGACTTCTGCTTGGAGTGAAGGTGGAAGTCGTCCAGGAAAGGGAGGAAGCTCTAAAGGGAAATGAAGAGCTCAGAAGAGCTCCATCTTTTGAAGGGGATGCTTTGGGCTACCCAGGAAGGCCGCCTCGGCTCTCCCCCAAAAGAGTTATGAACTCTCCGTCTTCTCATTGTCCGGCTGGAGCAAATCCCTCAACTCGCACCGGCCCGCCTTCATCCCGATGCAGGTGAAGCCGGAGAGAGGACCCGGAGGGAGGTGGAGGATTAGATAAGAAGTGAGAAGTGACAGACGGGTGTCAGGCAAAGACAGGGGACTGGGTGACTGTCACTGAGTGAATCATTAGTCTGGTGTGAGACAGGGGCCTCTTGTCCCGAGGAACCACATCCCCCTGCAGCTTCTGGGCCGCTTCCTGTGCTGCTCACCAAGAAAAAAAAAAATCACCCAGATTAACCTCACTTTCTCGTCAGCTCTGATGTGTGGACTGGTAAATCGGGACAGCACGAGCTGCAGGGAGGCATCGAGGCAAGAAAGAGCAACGTTTCATTTCAGGGACTCTGTGCCTGACCGAATAACCATACCCAAATCATGATCCCGCGGCCGGCCCGTGTGCCTTGGGCACATGATACCCAAGTGCTCTGCCCGGTTTAGCATTTCTCGTGGCAACTGAGATGCAATCCAGGGGAGCGGGCTTGTCAAGTGGTCGGCTGACACACACTCAGGAGGTAGCACTAATAGGTCAGCTGACAGGAACAAGATTCAAAGAGATCTAGACAGGTGAGAAAGATGGATCCAAACTAGCAGGATGAAAGCTGGAATCCAGAGTTTAAACTCAAGCAATTAGGTGCACCAGGTAGGGGAGACGTGAGCTCATGCGCGAAGAACGAAAGCAGTGGTTCTGGTTGATTGCACACTTGATGTGAATAAGTAGCGTGACATATTTGTTAGAAAGCAGAGAGAAATTTTGTGTTGCCTTATATTGCATGTATATATGGTCGTATCCCAAAGAAAGGAGATAATTATCCCACAGGATTCTTCATGCCGGATTCTGTTTGAGAGGCCTCAGATTAAGCAAACGTTCATGGAAAAGTGCCGGTGGGGGGTTCCGGAGGGGAGGGAAATGATCACAGCCGGTGGAGCAGGCTCTCTGAGGATGTGGGGAGGATGAGACAGCCATATTCAAATATTTGAAAGTGACACTGAAAAGAATTAGGTGTATTATGTGTCACTCCAGATTACAAATAAGTGGAAGTTTCAGACAGAAAGACATATTTCTCCTCAACAGACATTAGAATTAACTGGCGATTTGAGATACCCTAGCAGAGAATTTGCTGTGACTTGAAGTCCTCATGCTGAATCCGTTAGGGATGAAGTGGAGGGGATTGGGCGGGCACACTTGGTGACTTCAGTCCCTTCCGCTCTATGGTTTAGTTCATTTCACTTACTAGATATTTACTGAGTATCTACGCAGCATGGTGAGCAAAACAGAAGTGGTCTCTCTTGGCACCTACATATATAATCTATGCGGAGGACACAATCAACAAATAAACAGACCATGCAAACTAAACGTTATGCAGAAAGCAAACAGGGAGCGGAGGCAGGGAGTAGCAAGGAAGGACCTCTTTAGATTAAGTAGTCATGGAAAGTCTCACTGAGGTGATACTTCAGATGAGACCTGAAGACCTAGGGGCTAGGCTTTTAAAGAACTAGGGAAAGGGCGCCTGGGTGACTCAGTCGGTTAAGCGTCTGACTTTGGCTCAGGTCATGATCTCACGGTTCATGAGTTCGAGCCCCACATCGGGCTCTATTCTGACAGCTCAGAGCCTGGAGCCTGCTTCGGATTCTGTGTCTCCCTCTCTCTCTGCCCTTCCCCGACTCGTGCGCGCGTGTTTTCTCTTTCTCTCTCAAAAATGAATAAACATTAAAAAAAAAAGTTAAAAAAAAGAAGATCTAAAGAAACGTGTCAGGCCGAAAGTACAACATAGTGCTTGCTTCAGCAGCACGTATACTAAAATTGCAACGATACGCACAGGATTAGCACAGCGCCTGTGCAAGGATGACAAATTCTCAAGGTGTTCCATATTTTTGGTTCCACTCAGAACCAGCCACATGGGAGCATGGGCAGAGGGTTATCAAACCCTTTCCCCTTCAGCATGGGCTATGGCCACTGGTTAACTGTCTAGCTCTGTCCAAATATGGAATATAAGGCCAGGCAATCTTGCTCATGGAAAAATTATCCCTGATTGGCATATTAACATTAATCTTCTTTGAGTGTGGGAAAAGAAAGGAAAGGAAAGGAAAGGAAAGGAAAGAGAAAAGAACAACCGAACAATGGCCTTAAGGTAAGACAAAGCCAGGCACGGGAGGCAAGGAGCGCAGGTCAGGACAGCTGGAAGGCAGAAGGCGAGAGAGAGAAGTGGATAGGGCCAAAGTCACATGGGGCCCCCATGAGCCAGGATGAGGGTTTCAGCTTTTTTCTAAATTCGATGGAAAGCCACAGAAGCATTTTTAAGCAAAGAACAACAGAATCCAATTCATGTTTTTAACGTTTTTTTTTGTTTTGTTTTGTTTTGTTTTTTTATTTATTTTTGGGACAGAGAGAGACAGAGCATGAACGGGCGAGGGGCAGAGACAGAGGGAGACACAGAATCGGAAACAGGCCCCAGGCTCCGAGCCATCAGCCCAGAGCCTGACGCGGGGCTCGAACTCACGGAGCACGAGATCGTGACCTGGCTGAAGTCGGACGCTTAACCGACTGCGCCACCCAGGCGCCCCCAATTCATGTTTTTAAAAGGTGGATGAGTTCTTTTTTTTTTTCCTTTAACGTTTATTGATTCTTGAGAGAGAGAGAGAGAGAGAGAGAAAGAAAGAGAGAGAGAGGAAGCAGTAGAGAGAGAGAGAGAGACAGAATGAAGCAGGTTCCAGGCTCCAAACTGTCAGCACAGAGCCTGATATGGGGCTCCAACTCGAACTGTGAGATCATGACCTGAGCCGAAGTTGGACGCTCAACCAACCCACTGACCCACCCAGGGATTTTTTTTTTCAAATAATAAGAGTAACACATGAGAGTTGTAGAAAATAAAAATAAAAATCTGACCCATCTCCCAACCCAGACTCTCAGAGCCATAGGAATGGAACCACACGATATGTACTCTTAAAAGTTAACAGTCTGTTGTAGTTAAAAAGTATTTTTCCCATGACCATGATCATAGTGTATATACAATTGTGCTGGGGCGCCTGGGTGGCTCAGTCGGTTGGGCGACCGACTTTGGCTCAGGTCGTCATCTCATAGTTTGTGGGTTCAAGCCCCGTGTTGGGCTCTGCGCTGACAGCTCGGAGCCTGGAGCCTGCTTGGGATTCTGTGTCTCCCTCTTTCTCTGCCCCTTCCTGCTTGTGTTCTGTCTCTCTCAAAAATAAATAAACATTAAAAAACAGTATATACAATTGTGTTACTTACCCTGATCACAAACCAGAACTATTTCTTTCATGTCCTTAGATTTATAACAATTGATGTCATTTTTACTTAGGTTTTAGTTTAAGTTCCATACAGATCTTTAAAAGAAAAAGCCTTGCAAAACCATTGAAAAAGCGGAAGATGATGGTTAGCAACCACATGCAAAGGAACTCAACTGTTGAGTCATCAGGAAATGCAAATTAAAACACAGAGGAGACACCACTTCACCACAACGAGAACCAATATCATAAAAAAGGCAGACAGTAACAAGTGTTGGTGAGGATGTGCAGAAGTTGGGCCCTTTATACACTGCCCATAAGAAAATAAGATGGCATAGCCACTTTGGGAAACAGTTGGGCCATTTCTTAAAGACTTAAACATAAACTTAATACACAACCAGAAATTCCACTCACAGGTATGTACCTGAGAGGAATGAAAACTTTGTGCACACAGAGGCTTGTTAGTGTTCATGACAACACTGTTCTTAGTAACCCCAAAGGGAAAACGACCCAAATGTTTATCAACAGATGAATGAATACAATAGGATACTCTTTGGCAATAAAAAGAATGAAATATGGATACATGCTACAACATGGAGGAAACTCAAAAGCATTACGATACGGAACAGAAGACAGGCAGTTTGTTACATGTTGCATATTCCATTTACATGAAATGTCCAGAAAGACGAAATTTATGGACAGAAAGCACATCGGTTGTTGCTTGAGGCTGGGGGTGTAAGTGAGGATTGCTATACACAGGTTCAAGGGAAATTTGGGGGGGGGTGGTGGTAACAGAAATGTTCTAAAACTGGATTGTGGTCATGGCTGCACAACTTTATAGGTTTACTAAAAAAGTACTGAATTGTACATTTACCAAAAAACCACAACAAGGAAGTAGATGAAGGAGGGCACGCTTTGAACCAGTTTGGGGACAATATTTTAAGAGCAGTGAAATTTGGACCCTAATAAAGAATATAGGCGCAACAAAAGAATTTCTAAGGTCTTTTGGCTTTTCTAAAAAAATTTTTTTTAATGTTTTATTTATTTCTGAGAGACAGAGAGAGAGAGAGAGAGAGAGAGAGAGGGAGAGAGAACAAACAGGGGAGGGGCAGAGAGGGAGACACAGAATCTGAAGCAGGCTCCAGGCTCTGAGCTGTCAGCACAGAGCCTGACATGGGCCTCAAACTCATGAACCGTGAGATCATGACCTGAGCCAAAGTCGGATGCTTAACCAACTGAGCCACCCAGGTACCCCAGGTCTCTTGGCTTTTTAAATGATAAACCATATTTATCTTTAGCACAGTATCATTCTGACTGTGCTTATGTCAAAGGATAAGGTTAAAATGGTCATATATTTGAAAGGCACAAAATGAGAGGAAATTGAATTACCATTACATATCCTTAAACAAACAAAAAAATGAAACAGCAGGAGGGACTTGTGTTTGGTTTTTATGTTCGTGGGCTGCCACCTCGTGGTCATTTATAAGATGGCCCAACTTGCTTTGCTTTTTTAATCTTGAATTTGTCAAGCCCTGTCGGCATATCACAAATACCTGAACGCTTGGCTATGCGTAGGTTAAATCCCTGGATGAATCACTGAATAGTCTATACCTCATAAAAATACGGTAGTGGCAAGAACTGGACTGGGAATCTCAAAAAATCGCTTCCAGCCCCTGATCTGCCTGGTGTCAGCTTTGTGACTTTGAGCCAGAGCAAGAGTAATCTACTGGCCCTATCTGGTCCCAAAGTTCAAGCACAGGCTCTGTAAGACAGTGGTTAGGAGCATGACCTTGGGGTAAGTTCCTAACTACCCTGAACGTTGGTGTCCTACTCTTTAAAATGGGGATAAAAGAACACCCACTGCCAAGGTAGGTGTGAGAACCAAGTGTGAAAATGCATGTAAAATCACTGATCTCCGAACACCCTTCTGCAGTGACAGTGAGGGTTTCCTCCCGTGACCATGTGCTTCACGGGCACAAATCCTTTATCTGACGTTTTAAAGTAGTTACCTCTCCCCACCCCACCCCAAAGAAATAAGCAAAAATCCAGAAAGATACAAGTTCAGATAACAAACTACGTTTCTTAGAATTATCAGCCGACTCGAAAAACACATTTGAACAATTTAATTATTAAGATGAGTGAAGCCAAAGTCTGCACAGAAGCTGGGATTTTACAAATAACTTAGAATCACCGATTATTTTTTTTAAAAAAATACAGACAGTGGCAAGGATGTCAAGAGGTGACTGGTCTAGCTGATCCTCTCTCTGCCAGTATCTTACAGGTGACTGACAGGTTTAACACATGCCAGCTGGCACAATGGTGACCAGAGAAAAGAGAATTCTTTCATTTTCCCAAGAATTCAAATAAGTGTTTGCATCAAAGGGATGTTATGGCATAGGCCAGCGAACCAGTCTGCCTAAGGATCCACACCATCCGAAACTTAAGAGTTTCTACTATTTAACTCCATCACCCATTATATTTCCCTAGGATGTCAAAATGTCAAGATGATCCTAGCTTTTATTTGCCAGGCGGATGTTTTGGCATCGCTTAGAAATTAAGTTTTTTGTTTGCTTCTAAACAGCTTTATTGAGGGATAATTTAGATACTGTACAATTCCCTAATACATAGTTGTCCGAACCTTGGTAAACATATACAGTTACGCAGTCATTACCACAATTTGATTTTAGAACAATTCCATCATGCATTTTGCATCTGACCAGCCCTATAGGGAAAGAATTTACTGGATCATTAACGTGTGAGTTTAAATCATCTAGCCCTACAGAAGACGTGAATAGACATTTTTCCAAAGAAAACATCCATGTGGCCAACAGACACGTGAAAAGATGCTCAATGTCACTCATCATCAGGGAAATACAAATCAAAGCCACACTGAGATACCACCTCACACAGGTCAGAGTGGCTAAAATTAACAAAAGATGCTGGTGAGGATGTGGAGAAACGGGAACCCTCTTGCACTGCTGGTGGGAATGCAAACTGGTGCTGCCACTCCTAAAAAGTGTGGAGGTTCCTCAAAAAATTAAAAATAGAACTACCTTACGACCCAGCGATAGCACTACTAAGAATTTATCTAAAGGATACAGGAGTGCTGATGCATAGGGGCAAGTGTACCCCATTGTTTATAGCAGCACTTTCAACAATAGCCAAATTATGGAAAGAGCCTAAATGCCCATCAACTGGCAAACGGATAAAGATGTGGTTTATATATACAATGGAATACTACTTGGCAATGAGAAAGAATGAAATTCTGCCCTTTGCAGCAACGTGGATGGAACTGGAGAGTACTATGCTAAGTGAAATAAGTCACTCAGAGAAAGACAGATATTATATATTTTCACTCACATGTGGATCTTGAGAAACTTAACAGAAGACCAGGGGGGAAGGAAAGGGGGAAAAATAGTTACAGAGAGGGAAGGAAGCAAACCACAAGAAACTCTTAAATACAGAGAACTGAGGGTGGGTGGGGTGGGGTGGGGGAGAGGGAAACGGGTGATGGGCATTGAGAAGGGCACTTGTTGGGATGAGCACTGGGTGTTGTATGTAAGCCAATTTGACAATAAATTATATTCATAAAAATTAAAATAAAATAAAATAAAATAAAATAAAATAAAATAAAAAATAAACCACCTAGCCCTAGAACTTAGCTTAGGCATTCCTTTTGAATAAATTAGCTTTAGAGGAAAACAAACTAAAACTCTCAACTTTACTCAAAATAGAGGTTGATGAAGCACATTCTCTCCAGGGTCTGCAGGCTAATTAGAATATAAAGTAAATGTATAAATTAAGAATAAAAGTTAATACACATGCACTAATGTATGTATATATTTTGAAAAGTATATATTGTAGAATTCATTACAGTTTATGCCAGTATTATGGCCACCTCTCACCCAAGGACAACCTTATCTGTTTTCTCACTCTTATAAATATGGTTATCAACTGTCTGGAGCTTAAACATTTTGATCTGGCATATTCCAACTTTATGGCAGAAATATTCTCCTTTTCTTTAATTTGGCTGTGATTAAATTAATCGCAGTTTATTGACTCCACTCATCTTGACACTGAATATCATTTTACTTGATTATTTAAGTGTTCATTCAATATGTGCTAATGCAGTCTCCTTCATATAGTAAGCTCCTTGTGGTTAGAAAAATTGTTTCAAACTTTGCGTGAAAATGAGTTTTATTTTTCTCAAGCACCTAGTTCACACTGGGCACACAAAAAGCTATTTAATAAGTACTTGTTTCATTAATAAATGATACCTCAGGTCCGTCTCCCTTCCTGTGAAGCTTCTGCCCTCCCCCCCACATTTACATTTATCATATACCCTAGATTTCCTAGACATTACAGAGTTTCTGTTCAACTGTCCCATAAGAACAGTTGCATGTGCCACACCATATGTCTGAGCATATGGTCCTCAATAGCTGTAATATGAATTCATCTCTACTGCAATACATCTCTTGATTTCTATTCCTCCCTTTCTGCTCACTAATAGTTCTGATTACCATTTCAAATACAGTTCCCTTTCTTTCACTTAACTTCATTCTCGATTTTTTAAAAGTTTCTTATGAGACAGAGAGAGAGAGAGAGAGAGAGAGAGAGAGAGAGAGCGCGCGAGCGCACGCGCGCGCGCACGCGCGCGAGCGCACGCGCGTGCGCAAGTAGGGGAGGGGCAGCGGGAGAGGGAAACGATTCCAAGTAGGTTCTGCGCCAATGAAGGGTGGGGGGTAGGGACCGCAGGAGGAGCTCCATCTCACCAACCATGAGCCAGCTCCATCTCACCAACCATGAGATAGTGATCTGAGCCAAAATCAAGAGTCAGGAGGCTTACCAACTGAACCACCCAGGCACCTCTCAATATTTTTTTTTAACATTGCAAAAGCATACTAATAGAAAAAGTCTGACGATACAATATACACAGAGTACACCAAAGGTAATCTATTTCTCTCCTGTTGTTTCCACTTGGACTCTTACAACTCAGGGCTCCTGCACCAAGAGGCCCTAGAGAACATTCAGTACACAACAGGATGCAGCTGGGCAGCCCCCTGGGCACCTGTCGGTGGATCACCCACTCACTAATTCTGTGACCTTGGGTGAGTCAAACTTCTGGGAACCTCGGGACCTTCCGTATAATGCCCGTCTCACCAGGCCGTCGAGTCAAGAGACACGTCTACGTGTGAGCACCCTGCGAAGTCTAAAGTTCCACGCACACTTAAAGGATCACTGGGGGGTGTTGCAGAAGTCTTCGCGCCTGCGTCCCCCACGACGCGCCCAGTAGTAGTCCCGCACCCCACTTCGCCCCAGCCCTGGAGGGGTTCACAGCTCCTCCCGCGGTGGCAGCTTCTCCGGGCCTACCCTCCCCAGGGACCGAGCGCCAGGCCCCGGCTCGGAGACGACCGCCAAGCTCCAGGCGCCGTCGGCCTCCGGGAGAAAGGAGCCTTCCTTGCAGAGCTCCCCTCTGCAACTGCAACGCACGCTCCCTCTAGGACCGCCTCTAGGTCTCACCTATAAACTGGAGTCGCCCCCGGCCTCAGCCTTGCCCTTGCCCCTCCCGGCAACAGCCAATCGAAGCTTCCTAACGCGGAAAGCCCCACCTGGAAGAGCCGCGCCAGCTGCAGCCACGCCCCACCGTTCAAACGCCGAGTTCCCGCGAAGGCGGCGGGCGAAGGCCCCGCGCGGTGAATTATGGGGGTTGAGGCTGCAGAAGCGGGGTGCTGATTGGCTCCTGAGAGAGGAGGGCGGAGTAAAAGGCGGAAGCAGGCGTTGGGGCACGGCTCTCTGGAATTGGACTCTGGAGCGGTCATGGAAGCGCTTAGGTGCTCGGAGCACGGTAAGGGGCCCGGATCTTTTAGGGGCTCCTCCGGGAGTCTGTCAGTCTAGTGTGGCATAATCGTTATCAACCTTCTCTCCTCAGGAACCGTCTGCTTTCTCAAGACTGGCGTCCGCGATGGTCCCAACAAAGGAAAGAGCTTCTACGTGTGCCCGGCGAACTCTTGCAGCTTCGTGCTGGCAGCCGAGTAAGTCTCGAGCTGGGCACGACTGCCTGTCACCGCCAGCTCCCCTCTGCCCGGCGCCACAGGCACTAGGAGAGGGTGGGGACCCTGGTGTGTGCAGCCAGGGCCCTTTAAGTGGTTGATAATCCCCGGGCAGCGTGGCGTGTTGGGGAGACGCTCTCTACCTGCTTGCTGTTGAGCCCTAGGCAGCTTACTCACCCTCTGGGCCTCTGTTTTCCCCTCCTGTAAGATGGAGGGTCAGCTATATCTGGAACCTTCTGGTCCTTTCCAGCTCTGGGTTTCTGTGCGCTTGTCAGGCCTTCTGCTCGGACATTGCTTCTCCCTGCTAAGTGAGGACATGCAGACATAGTAGAAAGTAATTGGTCCCTGTTTCGCGCTACTTTTAGGCCGAACTTGTTTTTAAATGTTTGAGGTTAAAACACTCTGGTGGTCAGATTATCGCCTCCCTTTTAAAATAGGATTCTGTGCGTTTAAGGGGGTGAGATTGTCAATCCAAAGAAACAGGTTACTTTAGGGATTGACGCTGGAAAAAAAAATCAAGTATCTAATTCAGCACTCTGGTAGTGATTTTTTAAATATAATTTATTGTCACACTGGCTAACATACAGCGTGTAAAGTGTGCTCTTAGTTTTTGGGGTGGATTCCCATGGTTCATCGCATACATACTACCAGCACTCTGGTAGGAGCAAAAAGTTAATACTGTTCTCATAAAGTGTTAATGTTTTGACACAGTACCGAGTGTCCACAGCCTATGTGAATTTTTAAACTATTACATTAAACGTTTTTCCTGATGTCTACGGAACTTGGTAGAGAAAAATAAATTTTCTCCTTCTGAAATAAGACACAAAGTGGGTATCCATACTAGAAAATGAGGTATTTTTCAATGTGTGTATTAACCTGTGTTTCCCTTACATGATTTAGACGATTTATGTCTTTGTCGGGCTTTGAAACTAAATGAAGGAATTGGTATACTTTTTCAGATTTGACAAATACACTTTTAGACAAAATAGTTTCTTGGCTCCCTAATAAGTTGTCTTTTTATTTGAAAGAAATTACTAGGATCCAGTTTGGTTACATACGAAATGATTCTGAGAAAAAGTGTTAAATTTTAAGATAGAAGGGACAGGCCAGGGGCGCCTGTGTGGCTTAATAGGTTGAGTGTCCAACTCTTGATTTCCACTCAGGTCATGATCTCACGGTTCGTGGGATGGAGTCCCTCGTTGGGCTCAGTGCTGACATTGCGGGGTTCTCTCTTTCCCTCTCCGCCTCTGCCTGGCTTGCGCACTCTCAAGTAAACATTTAAAAAAAAAAAAAAAAGAAAAGGCGGGGGCGGACAAGCCACATATACTATCAACAACATATCATTGTGATTTACTATTTATTTCTAATTTCTTTACTGAGTTTCTTAGGTTCTAGATCTAGCTCAAGTTGCATGCAACATGGAAGCACTTTCAGATTTGTAGGAAGTAAGCATTAATGGTAGCGTAAGATTCAGTTTTATGTTGAAAGAAATATACTCTTGGGGCACCTGGCTGGCTGAGTTGGTGGAGCGTGAGAATCTTTGTTTCCGGATTTGAGTTCAAGCCTCATGCTGGGTGTAGAGATTACTTAGAAATAATGTCTTAAAAAAAAAAAAAAAAAGAAGCCCTTCTGTAGAGTGCCATTTATACAGATGCACTGCTATCAAAGCAGTACAGTATAATGACAGTTATTTGATAAACTTGATCTCTTTGGAATATGTCTGGTGAACTAGAATATAAGCAAAACAAAGGAAGAAACAAGTGCCACAGGCCCTATGAGAGTATATTTTAGGTCTACACTCAAAATTGTTTATCCTCAAATGTTATATATACATTGTCTCATAAGACTTCAAGAGAAGAGTTAAAAACTTATGCCAGGCTAAGTGGAAGCAGGTTAGTGGAGCATGTTTCTACAGCAGGCATGGGAACAACACTGAGGGACAGCAAAGAGGTTGTGACAAAGGGATGATGGAAGGAGTTCACAGCTAGTCTTTGATATTCACTCGTTTCGTGGGCGGGGTTGGGGGGGGTGGCTCTCACAATGTAGAGGTCGCACAACAGTATAGTTTTAAGCTTTTGAGTCATCAGGAAACAGATGTATTTATTGTTGTCCTCTCTTTGGGGAAGTGGGGAAAGACATGAAAGCTGCCGAGTGAGCCTTTCCCCAGAGGATGGCACATAGATGTAAAAATGTATGGCATCTCCAAACCCTGTGGAGGTCATAGGTGCATTCCTACATTTAAAACCTGTAGTTAGGGGGCGCCTGGGTGGCTCAAACAGTTAAGCGGCTGACTGTGGCTCAGGTCATGATCTTGCAGTTTGTGAGTTCAAGCCCCACGTCAGGCTCTGGGCTGACAGCTCGGAGCCTGGAGCCTGCTTCCGATTCTGTGTCTCCCTCTCTCTCTGCCCCTTCTCCACTCACATGCTCTCTCTCTCTCTCAAAAATAAATAAACATTTAAAAAAAGTAATAATGAAACCCATAGTTAGGACGTAATTTTAGAATGTTAATTTCTGATGTCCCCTAAAACAAAATTTCCCTTTTTCATCCCTCTCTAGCATTCCTGTTTCTCATTGTTTATTGCATGAGGACTGTGTGGTAGCACTTCAGGGTTTGCTGCTACCGCCGGGCAAGGAAGAATACAGGTAAGTGTCCAAAATGAACATCCAAGTTTTTGTTTCTTCGCCAGATTTACAGCCAGGTGTGTTTTCCTAGGATGGACTATTCTTTAGAAATCATTTTTAACAAACAGAATTTCTCTATGTATTGAATGCCTTCTGAGCTGTCACTGTCACTGCTGAGCAGCTGGTCAGTCTGGGAATCTGGTTAGTTTCAGAATCAACTGCTCTGCCTTCCTCCCTTTCTAGCTGTTAAGTAGCGGTAACATCAGCCTGCCAACAGTCACTAACTTGCAGTAACTTATCAACTTTTCTGTCCTAGTAATAGAATGAAAGTAATGTTGCAAAATGTGTCAAGTATGTTAAGCACTCAATAAATGTTAGTTTCCCTTCTTTTTTTTTTTTTTTTTTTTTTTTAACGAAAACTCAGATGTAGAGCAGGGAAGTCTATATAGGTGGCAGGTGACATTGGTCATGAGTATTGAAAAAAAAGTAGAAATTCACTAGAGGCAGGAAAGGGGTCATATTTAACAGATCGATAACCCTGCATTAGCATACAGAGTTAGGAAGTAATCAGGAATTGCAAGCATTTGGTTTGGTAATAGTTTAGCATGTGTTCGAGTAGAGATTTCAGAAGGTGAGGCTGGCCAGGAAGGCAGGGGCCAGCTGTGATGGTCTTTATATGATATTCTGTGCAGTTCAGAATTTATGTATTCTAGATCGATCTCTGCCCCCCCGCCACACCCAACATTGGCATTTAAGTTCCATCTTCACAATTTTTACATATCTGAATATTGCCTGTACTGCTGTTTTTCTTTTCTTTTTTTTTTAATGTTTACTTTTTTATTTTTTAATTTATTTATTTTTGAGACAGAGAGAGACAGAGCATGAACGGGGGAGGGTCAGAGAGAGAGGGAGACACAGAATCGGAAACAGGCTCCAGGCTCCAAGCTGTCAGCAGAGAGCCTGATGCGGGGCTCGAACCCACGGACTGCAAGATCATGACCTGAGCTGAAGTCGGCCGCTTAACCGACTGAGCCACCCAGGCGCCCCTTTAATGTTTATTTTTGAGAGAGAGACCGAGCGAGGGCAGGGGAGGGGCAGAGAGAGGGACAGAGAGGATTAGAAGCAGGCTCTCTGCTGTCTGCAGAGCCCGCTGTGGGGCTCGAATTCACGAGCCGCGAGACCATGACCTGAGCCACCCAGGCGCCTCTGTTTTTTCTTAATTGTTATGGATACAGTATACAGTAGTCTGCATAGATTTTAAGTGTTCAGCAGTTCAGCTTGAGAGATTTATATAACCATCCTTATAACCGAGCCTCAGTCAAAATACAGAGTATTTCTGTCACCCCATCAAGTGCCACCACTGGTTTGGTTCATTCTGCAGCGTCTGGCTTCTTTTATGTAACAGTATCTGAAACGGGGTCTGTACATCATTGCTGAGTTGAATTCCATTTTGTGAATGTCACAGTTTCTTGGGTTTGTTTCTTATCCCTATATTTTTCTTTGGTGACGTGTCTGTTTAAATCTTTTGCTCACTTTTTTAATTGAAAATTTTATTGAGGTGGTTGTAGATTCTCATGCGCTTATAACAAATAGAACCTAAGGGATCTCTGTAGACTTTACCTAACGGCAACATTTTGCACAATGTATATAAGCAGTATGTAATGTGACAACTAGGATATTGACTCAGTCCACTGTTCTTATTTGGGAAGATAGTTTCCCTTGTACTGACGTGTGTGTGTTTAGATTTCATTCTATATAGTTTAGCACGAGTGGTTATGAGTATGCACTACCACAGCCAGGATATGGAACAGTTCTATCACCACTCCATTCCTCCCACTGCCCCTTTATACCCCCGCCCTGCTTCCCACTCCCTCCGCCTCACCTCTGGCAACCAGGAATCTGATCTCCATTTCTAAAATTTGTCATTTCAGGAACGTTAACAGAAATGAAAGTGAAGTGTAACTGTGGGGGATTTTTGCCTATTTTAAAAACTGTGCCCTTTGTC